TTTATCACTAGTCGTTTAGACTATTGTAATGGACTTTTGTATGGCCTTCCTAAGTCGCAAATAGCCAAATTGCAACGTGTGCAGAATGCTGCGGCTAGACTTGTACTGAGTTTAAGTAAGTATTCACATATTTCTCCTGCGCTTTGTCAACTTCACTGGTTACCAGTACAACATCGTGTTCATTTTAAGATCATAATTTTAACATTTAAAGCTATTCATGGATGGGCGCCTAGGTATATCATTGAACTAATTAACATCAAGCCTAGGTCTGTATATGATCTTAGATCAAATCAAAGTTTATTACTTGACCCTCCTAAGGGGAAAATGCTTGCCACGTTGGGGGGGCAGATCATTCTCTGCTGTTGCTCCGTACTTATGGAATGTTCGGCCAGCTGAATTACGTGATATTCAATCATTTTCCATTTTAAATGTAAGCTGAAAACTTATTTATTTCGTGCAGCTTTCTCAAAGTACCCTGTCTGACAATTACTTTTATTAGTATTACTACTTAAGTTCCTTATTAAAATCCTTATTCCTAATTAAGATCCTTATTATGGATATTCCATATTCTTCTTATTTTTAACATACATTGTTAATATTAATGTACATGTAATAAGTTTTATTTAATTGAATTTACTGTAGTATTCTAAGTTGTTAAGCGCTGTTGATCATTGAATGAAAATAGCGCTCTAGAAGTTATTAAATTAAATTCAATTAAATTAAATTTCCAATCGGAAGTGAATTTCACTCCAGTTTCACTGTACTAAGAACATAAAAAGCCATGATCTGTTGTGTTCACCTTTGCAGGATTTCCTGTCAGACTGTAACATAAACCCATACTTGCAGGAGCAGCGGTAACTTCCTGGGTAGTTCTGACACACTTGGTCACAACCGCCATTGGAGTTTGCGCATTCGTCCTCGTCTGAAATAAGTTTGTCAATGACATCAACCTCAAACCAAAACCAGATTTGATGCAAAGTCATTTAACGACGGCAATCTACTTACCGATGCAGATCTTGTGTCTGTGATTAACAAATCCCTTGGGACAATCACAAGTGTGGCCTCCAATAGTATTGCGGCATCGGGAGGGAAGGGGGCATATCCCAGGGTACAATGCGCACTCATTTATATCTAAAAACAAATTCGTTTATTCATTCAGAATCTCTGAACGGAAAAGTATAAATTTAGGGGTAGACACGAAATTTGTTAATCTAAATGTACGTGTTCTTCAACTTGGAAAAACGAAAGCGAAAACACTCAGTTGACATGGTGACAGCTTATGACGTGATAAATAAAATCGTTTACCATAGAAAAGCACAATAAGGCGTTCGAACGTTACATACCAACACATGACTTCAAGTCATCGCTGAGCTGGAATCCTTTGCTACATGAACAGAAATAAGATCCAGGAACATTACGACAATTATGGTGGCAGCTATGGATACCTCGTGCGCATTCGTCGATATCTAAATCAGCAAACGAAACCAACACATTAATATAAAATACACACATGAAACGTTCAAGGGCAGAGTCTACCCTTGTCCTTGCATCACAAATTTCATGCAGTCTTAGAATCTGTTGCAACTTAAAGCAGCCGTCGATCGTCACGTCTTTTCAGACACTAAATTATGTAACACTTTTCACCTGAACAGGAAATTCCATTCACATTTAATTCATATCCCTTGGAACATGTGCAGCGGTACCCTCTGGGCGTGTTGATACAGTTCTGATGACAAACACCTTTAAATAAGCTGCACTCATTCACCTCTGAAAGGGAAAAATACACATCAGAGTGAGTGCCGTCAAACCTGTTTCAAACCTGTATCCTGTATCAACAGGGAAATTATCGTCACTACTTCACAGCAAAGCTGAAAATTTCATCTCAGTTAATTTATATACCGCAAATTTTCACAAATCCATGGAGAATGCGTCTTTTATCAAAAGTCTAGGTTTCAGATTTTGGTCAAGCAAACGGTTCAAGGTGGTTTAAACATTGATTTCGAAGCTCTTGGCAATGTGAAGTAAGAGATAAGACGTTTATTATCATAAAACGTTCGCCACATCTGAGTTTAAGAGATAGCGTATCAAGAAAGATGGTTTTCTTATAGATAAAGAGTTCTACGTGCTTTACTAAGAAATGATATACAAACTGATCCACATTACGCTCGAGTGAGCTCGCATGTGTACGACACAAAGTGTTTCAGTAATGTTCAGTCTATATCCTGTCAGGTAATTGGTAGGAGCGACAACAAACATCTACAAACACGCCAACTCGCCAGAAGTTACTTTAGTGAATTAAATCGCGAATGTGACAGCTCAAAGTCATACACTGTATGACTTTGAGCTGTCAGTGAAAATAGCCACATACGGTTGATGATCGTATCATGATCGTATCACGATGGTACACTTAACGTGCAACAAAAGTCACGAACTTGTCGCAAAGAACTTAACATAAGTATCTGAATGATGTTTGGCTGCTGAAACTTGAAAACCAATGGACACTCAGCGTCCCTGACTTACCGATACATGTTTGGCCATCTGGACCCATGGCGGTACCTGGTGGACAGGAGCAGTTTCCAAACTCGGTACACCTCTGAATACAAGCGATATCATTTATCGAACACTTGGTCTTCTCTTCTGCAAATAGAGCGCACGCAACAGTTATGTTTATGTCCAGTTTCGATTGTTTTTTTCCTACCAAGTAACATTCTCTGTTCTGAACTCGGCTGAGTAACTGGCTACGACATAACCCATTCATCCGCAAAACGAGAATACATCACTAAGCAAAAGTCAAATCTCGCCTTAAATGTCAAGAAAGAAAAATTCAAATACTTAGACTAAAGCGATGGTAATTATAAGTTTCTTCTGCCAAAAAAAGATATTAAAAAGATGAGAAAACAATTTAGCAGATATGATTAAATCAGTTGATCATTTATATCAGTGGTCATGTAACGAGTATGCTACCTTCTATACGTGAACTTTGCCCTAATATTGTTAACCCATTACTGACAAATATAAACGAGGTGGAAGACTCCTTGATTTACCTTCACATGTAACCTTGTCTGACTGAATCTTGAATCCTGCCCTGCACGAACAGGAAAATGAGCCCGGGGTATTTTTACACAGCTGCGAACATGGCGAATGCCGGCACTCGTCAATATCTAAAACCAAACAAAAATGGAGCAGTGTTACCAGACGAATGTGGTTATATACATTGGAATCATTATATCATACTATATGTTATAACATAACCAAAGTAAAGCGCGCGCTCTGATTGGTCAATTTAGCGTCCTCCATTTGCCCATAGGTGTACGCTGCTGACGTGAGCAAATGCAATGAGTATTTTTCCGCGCGCGCTTGTTTTTTCTGGTCACGTAGGATTTGTTAAATAAAAGGGAACTCTTTAGCTACAATGCATCAATGTTATGTTATAAAACAAATGGTAAACACAGCGTACACTATTGAGTTATGGATGCACGTGGGAGGTTCCTACGCACGAAAGAAGCGTAAGAGTCGCTCGAGGCGATAGCCGAGAGCGACTCTAGCTTCTTTCGTGCTTAGCAAACCTCCCAAGTGCATCCATAACTCAATAGTGTACGCTGTGGTTTACCATTTTTTAATTATAGTACTGCCCTTGCTGTTGTTGCCTTACGGCGTGAAATTCAGTGTAGTTAAGGATCACGAAAGAGTAATAAATTCGGATGGAAACTTTGTCTGTCAAGAGTCCTTTCCTTTGTGTCTTCCTTTAAGCAATTCTTAGTATATCAAATGGTGGAAGGCTGCAAAACTTTCGGCAATTAACGCTTACTGCTTTAGAATTCCACTTACCATCACAGGTGAAACCATTCATGTGCAGCTGGTAACCATCCTGACATGCGCACTGAGGGACACCGTCAACTTCGATACACTTATGATCACACTTAAGCCCATTTCCACATCCGGTTTCAGCCAGTTCGGGAGAGGGAGCCTTGGTCCCACTTGGAGAGCGAGAAGCTCCGTCTGATATGAAAATAAATACTTATTACTAGATCGTTTGTTTAGTGATTGTGGTGAAAGATCTATTAATGCTATCCCTAAAAGAAACATAATAACAAAGCTGGGGTTATTTCTTGGAGAGAAGGAACTGTGGCGAAAAACAGTTTTGAAACAGGCAAAGAAAACTCTGAAGCCAAGTGTGATGATAAGTCCCGCCGATGTGACAGAGCAATAACTGGCTTGACATTATTTACCTGAACAAGACACGCCGTCACTTTGCAGGGTGTAGCCATATTGGCATTCACATTTCGCTCTACCCTTGCTTGACTCGCGGCAGACGTGTTCACACTTTAGAAAGCTACTGGCACAAGAATTCTTCACAACTATTAAGGAGCAAAAAAGAAAAGCAGAGTTAACCAGCATGATAATATGGTGAATGATATGACGCTAGATAGCTTGTTTGTTTTGCGATGGAATTTTGTTTTTCCAAAGGCTTTAAACGACTGGATTGCTTAATTTCTAACCCTGTCGCAATCTCTACTTTGAACGTGACTGATGGAATTTCTAAGTAAATACATTTAAAAGTAATATAGCGTCCCAAATGATTACGACTTCTTTATCTCCGCTTTAAGCTGAAGCCTTCAGTCAAGACAGCTCAGTGGCTGGGAGATTCAAGATGCTTTGTACTGACTGCCACCCTAAGATAAAGAAACTGATGCAGGATTGTTTTATACTTCAGAGGACTTCGTTAATCCTTCAGTTGCTCAATGTAGAACGCTGAGTTAATTTTTCGATGGAACAAACACATCTTTTACTCTCATTTAATGCCGACGCGGACCTTACCATGACAAATAGCCAGAGGGTTTCGTTTAATTATCAGCTAGAAGAGGAGCTGAAGTTGAAAAATGACCAATTATACTTCATGGAATTCTTGCGAGGTAAAAATAGAATTTACGGAAATCTCTTTCCTAGAAATCCTATCATCGGATAAGTAGGTGAGTTTATTCCATGACATTATCCTTTTTTTACTGAACTGCAGCTGAGCGGCTACAATTTAGTAAAAAGCCAACAGCCATTGAGATTAGATTAAAAGACAAGCATGTTAAGTCTGTTTACAGATATTAAAGGTTCCTTCTTTCTGTAAAATTTGCTGATACTTCTGATATCTCTTGCATGTCCGCTGTGTGTCCAGACTAGTGAAAGGTTATATCAATCTAATAATCGACGGTAACCTCACCTGACTTGCTCGACACGATTTCCGTAAGTACTTTACCGACAAGTATGAATGAACAGAACAGTCACGGCTTTCTGCATGGTGAGAGGTATCCCGCGCTATTTTATAATTTCAGATTGCCCTTTGTGGGGACTTCCTGGTTACTTAACGATAATTTGTAATGGAGCAAAAAAATCAAGGAAGCATCAGGAATTTCGCTTTTGCGCATTTAACCGTCTTTGGGGAATTGGTTTCACAGTTTTCGTCGAGAAAATCTGCGCTTTTTTGATTATCAGATAAAATGAAAATGTGGGATATGGCTTAATTTCAAATTTCTCGCAGAGTTTGTCACAAGTTTGGGCCTGTAAGTTCCTTATTGCGGAGTTCATCGTGCTGTAGTAACTTGACTTTCTTCGTGTAATGCCACCCTTCACAGGCCGGCCGTTAGTTGAAGTGTGATTAAAGAATCCCACCAATCAGGGTTCACGAGCACCGGAAAAGCCTCCGGAAAATCCCTTGACAGTCAACTCGTCTCATCCATTTGGTACATGACAAGTTTTATTATTATTTTTTTTTTATCTGTCGTTATCGACGATTTGGTAACAGATAAGCGTTTATACTATTGAGGTTATTCCTTGCGTATATTCGTGTGTGTGCAAACCGTATTCAATGATTTGTTTCATGAAATCGGCCCTTGCTGTATATTGTTTACCCGTTTTTGCCAAAAGAATTTTTTATAAAAGTCAACGGTTCTTATTTGAGATGTACGTGCCGATATAAAAACTCATCGGAAATGAGCAAACTCCTGAAAGGAAGTCTCGAGCTAATTTTCCCACGAAATGACTAAAGGAGATAGGGACAGCTAGGGTGACCTTATAAAGAAAAATACCTAATGCCCTGGACTATAGTTTACAAATTAAAGAAAACAAGTGAGGTCGGCCACGATATGTTTGATTCTTCCTCTGTTAAAAATGAAAAATAAAAAAAACTGGAGTTTCATTGAAAGCTTGTGAGGAGGCCACAGGGTCAAAGCTAGGAACCCAAACGCATTGATTGAATTAAGATCATAATTGGATCTTTTTTCGGCTCCGCACGCTAAAACTCTCACTGCCTTATCACATTCTATGCCCGCATTTACCATCTACAGATACAGGTTAACATTTTTAAGAATAGATTTAATCTGGTTATTGGAAGGCATAAAAAAAAAATCCAAAAAAAAAAACAATAACAACAAATGTCTAGGTGCAAGTGACCTTGCACCTAGACATTTTAAAGAGCGCCAATAAATCGAAATGATACTCGTGAAACTCGTGATTAAAACCAGCAACTCGACGACTTGCGTGAGACATGGCTCTTGAAGTAATTATTTAAAAACCGCAAATTAGTGTTCACTGGAGCGAGTCAGTCACTTTTGCCAAAGAAAAAGAATGTGGAACTTCAATAGAAAATCTTCAAAGGGATCGAAGAGTTTTCATTTCTTCGATCTCGATGTGCAAGGAGAAAAAGATATTGAAGCAGAAGGGTATAGATTAAAAAGAAACAGTGAGCTTGATGTAGATGGAAGATAAATTTTTAGTTCACACACACATGCATGCATGTATATATATGTCGAATTAGAAAAATACAACGACTACGCTCTCCTCCCTACAAACCTGTTTCGTGATTGCTCACTCATCGATGGATCTTAAAAACGGAAAAATCGAAACGAAGACTTCCTCTATCTGTATAAATATATGTATCAACAAAACGCAAAGCTCTTCACATTGTAACTGCACCTGTTTCCCGCTGTGCCAACATCAAGTCAGCATCTTTTTCTCATCACTCCATTGTTGTTTAGTAATCCTTAGTTCTATGCGAAAATAATTACGATAGATTGCGTATCGTAATTATTCAATTTCATTATTTCGGAAGTAAGTCTTTTTTTTTCTGTCTTCGCCCTACGAGGGTTCAAGCATCATGTAAAAAAAAAAAAAAAACCTTCAGTGGCTAAGGGGAGGAAATTTCAGGCGGCTATATCAAAGATGAGGAAGTATGAAATCGGCGGCAGTCATCTCGGCGTGGAACAACCAGCCAACTCCACGACAAGCTACGGAAATTGTTTGGCACTTCTGCTTGTTCAGAAAAAATATCTCCGTGTATTAAACGTAGAAGAAATGCACTCGGCTATAAGAAATAAATCATATTGACGTGCTTAATGGTGACCTCAATTAAAATTTCCAACGAAAGATTTTCTTATTGACATCCTCTTTTTGTTAGTTCGCTTCTTGGCCTAAAAAAAGTTTCTCGAGGGAAAAACATGAGGTGAAGGCTTAACCCTCAAAAGCAATTCTCCTTTAAAAGATTAACTAGATATTGATATCTCATGAAATCTCCTGCTGAATGAAACTCCACTCAGCAATCATTTCAAGACGAAATAAACAGAAAATAATGAACAGTGAGCTCAGAAGTATCGTGGGGTGGGAAATAAAGTTGCGAACATTTGACACAAGGGTGGGCTGAATAAATTGATCGTCGGCAAACAGGAAATGTAGTCATAACCAAACTATTAAGTACTTTCCTCTTCATTATTCTTGAACAAATACCTATTTTTGATAACGAAACATGTGTCAACGTAATCGACATAAAAAATGTGCGGGCGTAAATAAACACCGAGGGGTTCTCGGTGTTTTGAGATGATGTTTGCATTAGAGATTTTCCACAAATCCTGTTTGTTCATCGCCTCTAATTGTTTTTATCTTCCAACTATCCAACTGGCTTCAAACTGAACTGAATGACAAAACATAGTTTTGATAACACAACAACAAGGGACCGGAAGAATGAAAGGGTTTGAAAAACAAATTTTTAACCATTTTTCTATTGATTGTGACTTAAAAATAACGTGTTTCACTCAAACACGCGACCTTTTTACCTCTGAAATGCCAAGGACGATTTCTTGATGCAGAATGTGTTTTCTCATCATACAACAGAAAGGCTCCATTTTCAGTGAAATATAATTTCAGTAGCAGATTTTTCACATTTTCTTCGTACTCGGAGCTGAACAAACTGGAAAGAATGTTGCTCTGTGAGGTAAATCAACATCGTTACAAGTTTGGAAAAGTAGCAAAGCGCCAAACAAAAGCAAATCACGAATCTTAAGCATTTTTTCCTCATTTGGTAAGTATGACTGTGGTTTTCCGAGCTTCCTTCGTGAATATCCTTTCCTCACAGCTCTTCAGCTACTTGTTCAGTCCGGCGAAAACCGCTAACGTGCCAAACGCTTTCTCTGCAGTTATCTTATCGCGTCATTACATCAATACCCGGACTTCAAGTTGCTTGTTGACCCCGAATGAGATTGCGGCCGCAAAAATGTCGTCTTCTCGGTAAATGAAAATCGGAAAAAACATTTCGTAGTATCTCACAAATGAAACATTCATCCCCATACATGACGAAGGGAACATCAAGAAGAAATTCTGAGCACAATCAGCAACTCTTATTTAACAAGCTTACACAGCTGCCAGGCTTACAAGTATCTAAGGAAAACCATGTTTCACAGCTTTCTCCTTTTAATTTAACTTAAAAAACGACGCTGCTATTGCGAATTCAAACAATACCTCAAGACCACAGGGTAAGCTGCAAACGGGGTAGATCACGTGATCTAAGGTAGGAAGGATGACAAATTCCTCTCACTAATGACGGTATTTTGGTTCAGAAATTTGAGATTTATATGGGGCCATTAGTCGCTACTTGCTTGTTTGAAAACACCACATGGTCGTTTGAAAAACGTTGATTGAGTTGTTCTATCCTTTATGATTCTTTCATGGCCTATCACTCCCAGAATAACACATGGTTAGAATATAAACTGTACAGATCATTTTTTTTAAGGGTCCAACGTGGGCGACATCTGTAGGTAAATTTTGCTCCCGACACTCGCGTTAGAGGTAACAGAAAATTACTTATACACGAGTCACTATTTTTTTGCAACTCAAATAACCACGGAAACTCCCCAAATAAACCATGCAAAAATAGAACCACTCACGTATTTCTCAATGACCCTTCTACTTTTGATTCCCTGTACGGTATAATCGGTGTAAATATGTTGTGAACCGGAACCCACAACTGAGCTTCCGGTTAAATGCTTGCATTCCTCTGTTAAGCTTAAAATTCCTTTTATATGAGCCATGTTACTACTGCTTAGAATAAACGTTGGGAATAAAATGAAACAAATTGAAACACTCACCTCGTATAAATTTGCCCTTGGTGTCTTCCCATACTTGTGGGTGACTGTGTTTTCCTTCGCATTCATGGTAGGTCTCCAGCCAAAGCCTGGCTTGATTCCTCAAACCACGAGGAATGGATGGTACAGCCATTTCCAGGATAATTCTGGCGGCCAAAACGGAGTAAAGGGGTCTCCGCAAATCTCTGTATTTAATCTTGGACCAAGTCACACCAAATGTTCGGCGTATGTTCTTGTGAAGCGTAGCCAGCTGCTTGTTTTCCCTCCGCTTGTTTTGCGTCGATTTAAAAGCGCATTCGTCTACGTTCCACAGCCCGCCTTCCTTCGATGTTTTGTTCAGGGAAGACTCAACTAATGCCACCCGCTTGACAAAATGGTGGTCGTCCATAAAAATCCTTTTGCGAGACTTGGTCATGGCATTCTCGGTCAACTCGGACGCATCAGTGATTACTTCGGTTCCTTGTTCGTCAACAACAAGTAATGATTTGTGGATCACAGGTCGAATTCGTTTTGATCGAGCTTCACACGATTTAAATACGCATATCATATACACTGCGCACATAAGCGCACACTTAACTTGCACATTCATGGTGTAACACTCTTAGTATACTTCCTTTCTTATTTCTGGAAAATACCACTCTGACCACGTTCTTTTTTCTCGTTCAGTTCGTGTGAAGGTTTTCGGGCCGCAGCGGAGACTCAGATCAACGTGCAGTCAAGAGAATTTAACGCGGCTTAAACCTGCGATGAAAAAGTCACAAAGTGAGACGGAATGGATTTCACTGAGGAATAATATACGCTAACCTAATGGGGTTCAAATTTCCGTCACCCTGCTGTGATTCAAATTATCAATTGAAGACAAACAGAGAAAATTTCTTCCAGGTTATCCATTGCAAGCTTCAACAAACGTTACTGTGACAGCCACCCACACTTTGCACAAGCAAAGCAGTCAATCGAGAGAAGAAAGGAGACCTCAAACGGGGTTTAAAGGTAAAGAAGCCTTGATCATGAACAACAGGTTTAGATTACGTGTTTACCAAAACTACAGCTCTTCGTTAGTAAAAACAAATGTCATGAGTTTAACCCGGGACAGCAAGAAAGCAAAACATAGATTACCGGGGCAGGCGATCTGATGTGGCGCCCAAACAGAGAACAACGCTTGCACTAATACAATACCATCAGAATAAATAAAACACTTACAGTCTCTATTAAGGCTTGTAAACGATCAATATCAAAAATAGACTTGCCTGAGCAGTGTCTGTGGTCTGTCAGTAGGTAAAGTAATCAGATGGAAATCGAAGATTCAAGAGCTAAGGTTATCGCTGACTGCTATCGGCAGTTTAACACGCAAGGCCAGGGGACAAGTGGCGTACGGAACATACGATATGCGCTCTTCAAATGTCCTGAGTCGCTAACTCAACTGACTTCGAATTAATTTTCCTCAGAATATTAATAAATTTGAGTTTAGACCACTCGGTAGCGGAAATCCAACTATTGACTAATTTGGAGGATATACCGTCTGTCAATACTGACAGCATCGCTCACAGGAAGTCGGTAAGCCTTTGATTTCTCAGAGAACTTCACAAACAGGATTGACAGCTGTGGCACGACCTCAGGCAATCAATAACCTTATTACATTTGTTTTATATGGCTAATCATTTTCCTATTCTGCACGCAAACGGTGCTGAAATGTTGAAGGCGCCATTATGGCTCCCTCCGAAATAGAGTTTAAATACAGGCTATTCAGAAGGTTACTGATTTATGACCCTGATGAAAAAGAAAGCAATTATTTCATCTGCATTTCACGGCATGCGTGCTCGTTTAGCTCGCCGTGGTATATCGGCCATTCGCCAACACATTCAGCACGTTATGCATTTGTCTTTTCTTCTGTTGATAAGCACAGTCATATTTTGCAAAAGACATACAGCGGCCTTCAGCTGAGTTACTGCTCAAGCTACGATAAGATATAGGAGTTAAGTTACAGTTACCGACAGGAAAAACATGTTCAGCCCCAAGAAAAACAAGTTTGAGGCGTGAGAATGTTTCTTTAGTCCGTGAAGGAATGAATAACTTCCCTAATCACTAACTTATCCAGATTTACACTTATGAGTTAACTGTTTCCTCACGTAATAGTCACTGTCCTAATTAAAAGGAAATGTAATTTTGGGTAAGACATCCAAGAAACACCAAATGTTTGACTATTTGGTGTCAAAAGGACCTTTGAAAATATGGTCCATCCGCACTGGGGTGAAGTGTGTTGCATCCTTCCCACCCGAGATAAACAATATGAGAGGGTTTGATAGAATCATTCTATAGTTCGAAGGGGCGAGTTACGCTGGTTTAAAATCACGTGTAAAAGTTTGGAAAACGTTGCTAAGACTGCTAACCTTTTACTGATACTGTTTTTCTAAACTATTGTTTTGGCCTTCAACGTTGGACACCTATTACACTTTTTTTTAAGTAATCAGTTATCAGTTTTTCCGAGCACTGAGAACTGGATTATATAGATTGTAAAACAACCGAGACAAACCCCCCATATTTGTGTTTTCCAGTCGCTTGTTATTCAGCTCCTATGCTGGAAAAAAAGAAAAACCTTAACTATCCTTCAGATGGCACCGTAGTTTTTGCTGTCATAACGTATAAGAATCCTGGGTGGGCAAAGTAAAGTTTAGATTTGTCCGTGGCCAGATTATGAGTCATCAATCATTTCCTGCTGTTCGTGGGATAAGCGATGTAAAATGCACCACTGATGCACTATTTTTCCGCAACGATTTTATGCAATTTTCTACAGGAAGCCACCCTAGGAAAAGAGACTCAAATAGTAAGACTTGATAACGTAGGTTAATCTTACTTGTATTTTAACAGGCTTGTTTTGTTGTTGTTGTTATTGTCATTTTTAAACTTATTCTCTTTAAGCTGGACTTTCTCTTTTAATTCCGACTTTATCTACTGCAAAAATGTGTTGCATGTTCATTTGATCACCCTTACAAACTAACTTCACAGCAATCCTATGTAACAACATTCACGAGCTAACACGTGATGGCTGAAGAACTGAGCAGTGAAGTTTATTGCTAAAACTGAAATATCTGCTGTCAAAAAGAGCTTGATACGTAACGCACAGTCCATAAGTTACTACATTTTACAAGAAATTAACCCCGATTAAACTTTCACAATGCTAGGTTAAACAGTTTTATGAGTGTGATAAACATTTTTCCTCTGTCAAAATAACGGAGCGATTTAGACCCATTATTTAAATCTTTGAGTTTGTCGCCTGAAAATGTTATGCTTTAGATGGCTTTTGCTAATCACTGATATTAACGTTTTCTGAATCTTTGTCTCAGTAATAAAAAAAAAGGTTCTCTGCACGTTTCTGACCAGGCTAGTTATGTAAGGAATCCGCTATGATAACAGCTTTTAAAACCCAGATTTCCTTCTTTTCAGGAAAATGGTTGGCGATGTTCATCTTGATTTTAACTTCTAAGCTGTTTTCCAAATAATTGTGATATTCTATAAGCGGGATAATGTTTTGAGTTCATAAGCTTTTTAGCTGTTTTCGAGTCTATCACGCGTGAAAACAGAATCATATTGTAGCCGTCGTGTTGTGCATCAAATAACAACAAAAAACAACAAAAACAACAACAAAAAAAGTATTTCAGTTTCAATGTGATGTCCGTTAGTGTATTAATAAAGAGATCTGTCCTGATGTTCAGTCATATAAAACCGTGCGATATTTAATCCTTATTTCAAAGCAGTTTATGGATGGAACACAATACTCTTAAAAGCACCAGTACCTGCTTTTATCCAGACAACTTGAAGAAAGGTATTTTCGGCAAAAACTGAAGCTTGCGGCCATAATACAAGTCGTTGCACGTAACAGAATGTTTGCTCAATCGTGGAGGTGGCTAATATGCTTTAATAAAATTCAGTTATTTATCTATATATAGCCTGACCCCTCAAGCTCATGAAAGACGACTGCAAGAAGATGTTATTTTCTGCTTGTTTGAACTTAACTGCAACGCAGTTATTTTAAGCTTGTTGAGGTTTCTGAGTCTCCCTCGCTTATCAGGGGATAATGAGATGAGTCTGGTGACCATCGAACACTGAGGCCGGCCACCAACATTATGAACATACAGTCGGAACGTTCAGTTACACTGCGACGTCCATAAAAATACAGACATTTTCAACGGCAATACTTTGCCTTCTAATCTTTTCCTAATGTTCTATTTGATCCATTTTATCTTATCTCTTATTCTCATACCCACTCTAAGAAAACAAGAAAGCTGATAAAATGCATTTTGCATCAAAAACCGCTCTTGTGCACTTTGAACAAACACTGTCAGTGTTGACAATAACTTCAAACCCTGAGAATCTTACGTCACTGAACAATACTTTGATCCCTGATGGAACGTGAGAGACTGTTTATTAATTTGGCAGCTTTGAACGTGAAGCTATTTCATGAGTGGAATTTAAGAAAAGACTCTGAGGAATGGCTGACTATTTTCGAAGCAAAATAAATTAATTAAAAGGATTTCTTGGTAAACATGAACGCAAGGGCTAGGCTAGAAAGCCGTCTTATTGGGATGGTACCATATCTCAGAAAAATTTCATGTGAAAAAACAGAAACTCAGCTCGAAAACCATCTCAAACTTTTTCACGACATCGCATAAAAAAGACGACTTTGCTATTCTTTAGCAAATCAAAGCAATTTCGAGCAAGGTACTTACGGTATCTCCTGGTGAACTGACTACAACAAGCTGTGCTCGGTGTTAGGTCTTATTTATAACCCACCATTCATCGCGTGCTCGATTTGAATCCCATGAAAGACGTGTTGTAGGTTGAAATGTCATGCAGCGGTTAGATGAGATGTCACCTGGATCCTTTCCTTCTCAGAGCTACTGCCTGCGTTGTTATTTTAATAAATTAGTCGGATTAAACCTTAAAAAATTAACGAAAGTTCACTGCTAAAAGGCATTTGTACAAAAATTAATGTTGTCGGTGAAAATTACATTTTACAAGAATTTGACGGATATGTTTGTGAAACTAAGGAAGTTTCCATTCATATTGTGAGCGCCATGAGCTTGTGAGTTGCATGCGACAACTTATCTTCAGTCCTGAAATAATCAATTGGGAAAAAGTGGCTTCGGGAGATTTCTGATGGTGACAGTGGCTTTAACTTTCTGGAATAAGGAAATATGTAGATATAGTACTATGATACACCAAACAAAGTTTCCTTTGACCTTCCAACTACACAGAACTCGAGTCAGGCATGAGCTAGTTTGTTAACACATGGATTTAATCAACAATTTCTAAATGCCGATTGCCGGCAAGTGAATACATTATCGTCTGTCAAATGATAGGCGATTTGCAGTGAGAGAAGTATTCAAAAAAATTCACTGCGCCAAGGGGAGACTTCAGATGAAGAACTCTTTCAGCATGGTAGTTCAAGTGATTATAAGGGCAAGAAAATCACTCATTCATGTATTCATAGGCAATATCCTGTGAGTTTTCACAGGCATAGTAACTTGGTTAAGCCTCAGAGACAAGTATAATGAAGCCTTTGTTAGTAAATACTTCTTCCGAGAGATCCTGTTAATTCAGGCCCTTTTGCTCCTCCTTTTGCCGGTTCATAGCCCTTTCTTTACCTCACCCCACCCCCCCACCCCATCCATCCATGTTGACTGAAAAACAATTCTTTTCCGGTTAAAAGTCGATTCTCAAAATATTTAAAGTGTTGTCGACACAGTGAGGATGCTTTGCGGACAATTTTAATGTCACGAATTTTTCAGACAAAGTCCAAATGTAATCCCCCGACAAATGAAGAGCCATTTACCTGTTAATCCTCACAAATCTTTTAAGAAAATATTAAATTTATCATAGGAGTCGTTAAGTCAATTAAACGTGAAGGGGGAGACTCTTTAAATAAATATCGAGCTCTAAGGGCGAGAGCTCTGACCATGGTTGGCCCAACACGGTAAATGTTCTCAACGTTAACAATGATAATGACATGGACAAAATATTTTACCACAAACGAAAGAAACGAAATATTTTGCTCCATTTTATTTCAGTTGGAAAATACCGCGGCATTTTTATGGCGTCAGAATTCTTTAGGAGTGAATTATTCTCACGGATACTTAGCTGAAGATCTTCGCATCAGATAAGGTAAGTTTAAAATTTTGATAAAAATAAAATTTGACACTGACTCAGAGGTCATTACCGGTAGATTTGCCGAAGAGCAAGTGTTAACAAATTTTATATACTAATTTTGACTGATTTCTGGGTAATGACACAGCTAGTGAAGTGTTTAAGGTTAAGAATTAACTTTCGTTCTTGATGTTCTTCTGTGCCTCACGTTGACACGCAATTTTGACGGTTAATCATTTCTTTTAAGTCTGTTTGAATTTTCCCGAAACATTTATTCTTTAATATACAGGATCGTAGATTGCAGGAAAGTGTTTAACAGGAAGTGGTATAAAGTGTTTCCAGATGTGTGTTTGATCTCTGGGAGGGCGCACTTCTAACTGTACTGGCAACCACCCCGTTAAAAACCAATCACGTTGTGTCGAATCTTGCGGATAACATCAGATTGAGTCAAGAGATTTCTTATCTGTTTACTTATTAAACGGCTTTATGCGTATGCAACAATTTTTACTGATAGCTCACGATTCTAACGGGAACTATTTCAACGTGACACTTCATTCTTCTGTCGGACAAGAACTTCTCCACGATGGATGATATACTCCCCAAACCATAAGGGTTATTTTGGCACAGGGTAACCATCCTTCAGCTTTCGTGGAGCCAAGCATGGAACGAGCTTCCAAGATCCATTAGAGACGCTACCTCGTTGAATAATTTTAAAAATAATTTAATGATACTATTAAGGGAATTTTTAAGATTTCATCCATCCAATTGTATATAAATTTTTAGCTTTCATTTTTATATTCTAGTTTTATGTCCATGTGGATACTATTGTAAGAAATTAATTTATGACTATTTTCTACATTGTGGCTGAAAAGCCCCTATGGGTGAGCTTCAATAACCCATACTTCTGATTTTTTTCTCCTCCCCATCACTACTCACATAATTCAGTTAGCCGCACTTTTCAGTGTTTGGTGGCAAAACTATTATTTAATCAAGTTAAGGTAGGCCACTAAATTATCGCAAATCGAAAGAATTGCAAAAACTTCAGTGAATCAAACATTCAACTGCAAATAACTTCAAATTGATAAAGTGGGTAAGTTTCTAAAGAAACTGTGGTGCTGCGTGGGGGGGAGGGAGGGGTAACAAGGTGATTTGGTTAGGTCAACTACGTTGAAATTGCAAATTGGCCACCATAAAGAGTTAAAAAGCTGACTTTACGAGTGCTAGCCCTTCTCGGAGCGATTCACTCTGATGAAGGGCAAACACACGAAATGTCATCTTTTTAACTCTGTAAGTGGCCAATTTACAATTTCAACTTAATTGATACAACCAAATTACGAATGACTTCACTTTCTTAAGTCATTGGTCACTTTATTTATCTTTAAAGCTGTAATTTTACTTTATGTTCTTAGGTCTAAATACTAAAATCATTGTTGAGAGTGTTAAAGGCCATTTAATGTTAGACCATACAACATCATGAGAGAGATCACAAATGTAAATCTTAACTTGAAGCCAGAGCCTACTTAAGATGAGGCTGTCTGATGGGTATAAGAACTGACTTACCACCAATACCCCTAAATTAAATTACTAATCTGTACAAAGCCTGCAGTTATAACTTGACAAATGTCTTGTGTAAAATTTACAATATCTTCTTTCAAACATGCAACAACAAAGAAAGCTTGAAAATTTCATTAAACAAAAACAAAGTCAGCAAAGAAATGACATTTCAAAAAGAAAAATTATATGTTATTCCAATCCAACAATGCTGCTCATTTGACCAATTTCTTCCTTCAAGCATTCAAGAAAATCTGTAGTAAGATGTCCACCTCCAATATCAGCAGTTTTCTGCAGTTCAAGAAAAGGGAAAAAAATCTGTTGATTTCACTATTTTATTCAGAGTAAGTTTGATTTTCTAACAGTTAGACCTAAAAAAAATTTAGGCATCAAAAAAATCATCTTGATGTTACATACCTAACAATTTGACTCTAAACTTGGCTCAGAAATGAAATTTGATTTAAATAGAGTTCCTTTTGGTGAATGATAGTGAGGAATGAGTGATTCATGGTGGCTTCAGTTTGCTGTTCAAATTAGAATGCAATGACATGAATGTGAAATGAAGAAAAATTACTGTTCTCACCACTCCTTTCTGTACTACTCTTAAAATAGCACTGTGAATCATATCACCATACGCATTCCATCTGAAAATAAGATAACAATGACAACTGAATCAACTTTAATATCCTGTACTACCAAGTTCTTTACCCTCCCTCCCCTTGCTTGAAAGATGGAAAGGATTCCTATTAAACTCTTCCTTCTCAATGGTGTACTAGTGCCCAGCATTTCACCAGCTCTCCCTGCCAGTTTAATGGTACTCATTGGCATACTAGTGCCCATTGGCATACTAGTGCCCAGCTCTCCCTGCTGGTTTAATGGTACTCATTTATGCTTCTGGAGAGAGGCCTTGTGATGACAGAATATCTTTCCCAAGAACACAACAAGTAGACACAGGCAGAGCTGGAACCAGACCTCTTCAGCCGGAGTCCAGTGTACTAACCCACCCACTGTCAGTACCTATCCTCCCACACAGAAAAAAATTCCACCCAACCAAGCAGAAAACTTTTAATTAGAAGTTTGGTCAAGAAAAGCCTNATGGTACTCAATGGCATACTAGTGCCCAGCATTTCACCAGCTCTCCCTGCCAGTTTAATGGTACTCAATGGCATACTAGTGCCCAGCATTTCACCAGCTCTCCCTGCCAGTTTAATGGTACTCAATGGCATACTAGTGCCCAGCATTTCACCAGCTCTCCCTGCCAGTTTAATGGTACTCAATGGCATACTAGTGCCCAGCATTTCACCAGCTCTCCCTGCCAGTTTAATGGTACTCAATGGCATACTAGTGCCCAGCATTTCACCAGCTCTCCCTGCCAGTTTAATGGTACTCATTGGCATACTAGTGCCCATTGGCATACTAGTGCCCAGCTCTCCCTGCTGGTTTAATGGTACTCATTTATGCTTCTGGAGAGAGGCCTTGTGATGACAGAATATCTTTCCCAAGAACACAACAAGTAGACACAGGCAGAGCTGGAACCAGACCTCTTCAGCCGGAGTCCAGTGTACTAACCCACCCACTGTCAGTACCTATCCTCCCACACAGAAAAAAATTCCACCCAACCAAGCAGAAAACTTTTAATTAGAAGTTTGGTCAAGAAAAGCCTGTGGTTTCTAACTCTATGTTTGACCTACCCCAAATGTTCCAACATAAGTGTACTAGCAAATAACAGGCTCATAGGATTTGAAAGATTCTTTCCTTTTATATCCAGACCTGTATGCCGTGATCCCTTCAATACAAGGTAAATGGAATTTTATTTAGAGGAAAAAAACATTCTGATAAGCAATGTGTTAATAAAATCACATTTTGTTCTACACATCAATATCACCCAAGGCATAGAATTCAAATAACAATACTATCCTGAGGACAAAATTGTGGACCATAATACCCACTTGATTAGTTAGCCGTTTACTTCTAATTAGTACTTTTGGAATCCAACTATTGCTTGAAGTATTCTTTTAGTAAAGGTTTGTGAAAATGCTTCACGTTAAGCCCTATCAAATTCTTTTTCAAATACTAACAACATATTTAGTTTCATACAAGCCAGCCCACCTTGAGAATAACCTGAAACATGTTACAAACTTTCAATGCTGAGCACTGCACAGTTGTTTAAACCATTATGTATCTCTACCTTCTCCGTGACTTTTGCAAATATAATGAAAAGCAAATGAAACATTTTAATTAATAAGTTATTTTACATGTCCTTACTGATTCAAATACTGCATAATCTCCTCCTATGTTTTCCCCAGGTACAATACCTGGTCCACCAACAAGAGAGGCTCCAATGTTACTAACAATATTACCATACAAGTTGGGCATCACCATCACATCAAATTGCTCAGGGTTTGAAACAAGCTGCATACAGCAGTTATCAATGATCATAGAATTGAACTCAATGTCAGGGTAGCTCTTGGACACCTCACCACAACATCGTAAGAACAAACCATCACCAAGTTTCCTTTCAAATTAAAAATCAATAATCAAGAAACTTTAGTCAAGTGAAAACTGGCCAAGCTGCCCGCCCAGTGGATCTACTCATTTGTAAGATGAAACAGTCTTTAGATGGAGGTCTAAATTATGAATTCTTCAGAATCTTCATTCAGATTAATGCATTTATTATTCAGAAAAATGCCTGATTAAGGGAAGCATCCATGCAAGATAATCAAGTGAGCCCAGAGATTATTGAATAAGTTTCAATATGATACAATAATTATTTTTATTAATTTAATACTAGGCCAACAAGGGCTATTTTATCTTATTCCTACAGGAAAAACTCTTAATTGGTCACTTCAGAAAGAAAAGTTTGGTTGATTACACCTGATGGAACCTCTTGCAGAGAAGCCTACCATTCTACCACCAAACATAATAAAAGAATATTATTAAAACTAAATGATGAACTAAACATCACATCTAAATGCATGCTTATCAAAGTAACATTGTTGACATGTACTGTTCAAATGACAAAGAGTTCTATCTAGATTATCAAACTTACATGATATTTGCCTTGTGAACTGCTGTCACCTTCTTTCTCCCATGCTTAACAGCAAAGTCAAAAGCATACTTTGCAACTTTTGTGCATTTCTCCTCTGTCATAATTTTAAAACTTTCAATAACCCCATCTACATTCTAAAGGCAACCAACAACATTACAAATATTAAATGTTTTACTACCAGGACTTAATAAGAGAAACATACTTATAATCATTGGCTAAATAGCATGAAGTGAAAAGAAGAAGGCCATTAAATTTCAGTTTCACAATAAATATTCTTTACCTACTGTAGGTTGATTATCAATATAACCTTATCTAGTACAATTACCCCAGAAGGTGATTATACAGAAGATGCCTAATCTCTAATTGGTTGAAATGCTGAAAAAGTTTGTTATGTCTTTCAAAATCATCCATTGTATAAGACTGAAGTACTAATTTCCACTATGCAGTTTTTTTAGTGTTTCTGAACCCAAAAAATAAATGAAAATGCAGCTGTTCTGATAATTGTTTAAGTAATCAAGCTCAAAACACACATTTACCTTGGGCTCAGTAAATACAGTCCTCTTAGAGGACTTATCTTCTTTATCTCCAAAAAATTATGGATATTATTAGCCTTGCTTTTGACAACTAACTGTTGGTCTTGTAGGAGAAGGAAATTGCAAAATACCTGCAATGTAATTATAAAATATAACTGCTCTCAATTAATAAAAACCCACCTCATGTTCAATGTGGCTGTACTCTCCCTCTGTGTTTTCTCTGATTATAACTAGATCAACATCATCGTGCCTTAGAAAAAGAAGGATATATTGTTTAAAACATATATATACTAAATAAATACAATAATTAAAAACAGATATTATTTAAACAAAAACCCACTAAAAAATTCCAATCGCAAGATAGATGATCTCCAGTACAGAATATTAACAGATCTTACCGTACTGGGATACCTGGGATGGATTTACATCTCACAACATTTGCAAATAGATCCAACTGAAGACTACATGGAAAAAGAAATCATCACATTAACAATTGAATTTGTCAGCCTCTAAATAATCTCATAGATACAAAGAACACAGCAAAAAAAAAACAATTCCTTTAATTTTACTTATTTTCCTAGGATTAAATTATGATAATGCAGTGTGACAAGATAAATATTAAAGAAATACAGGAGTTAAAAAGTGAAATATGGCTGAACATTACATCATTGCCTCCTAGATCGTCTCTTAATAGAGATCCCTTTTCTGCCCAAATTTAAGAAATGGATTATTATAATTCCTACTGACCGTAACTCGACATTGAGTGACTTAAAAGTTGGTTGATCTAATGGTGTAAAAATATTTCCTGAAAACCAAAAAAAGTTAAATCAGTGCATCATGTAATCATGTGTATTTTGGAAAGGGAAAAATTATCTGACAAACATGGCCTATGAGTTTGATCTCATCTAAGAAGTTGTGGACATTTAAATTCTTAACTTCTTTTTGAAAACAGAAATTAAGCAAACCAACTTCAGTTAATGCAGGTTCCATGAAGATATGGGTATATGTGTTGTGGTTCAAATTTTACCTTTGGTTTGAATTTTTTAAACCAGTTTAAGTTTTTCAAACTGGTTTGAAATTTTTAAACCAGTTCTGTTATCAACTGTCTAAAAAGGGGCCTTCCTTTTTTTGGGGTGTGGTTGAAAAATAGGGGCTTGGCTTTTTGGGGGGTTCTTAAAAAGAATTTGTGCTTTTAAGAAAATGTCGTTATTCAGGTTTTTTTTTCTAAGTTCAACAACCACCCCTCCCTCCTTATAATGTCATTTCCTTCCTGAATCTACTCTTTCCAAACCCCTCTCATTACCTTTCATCTAACCCCCCATAATATCTAACTATACCTTTTTTCCCTTTCTTTATATCTCTTAGTACTCACCAGGATTTGAACTCCCAACCTTTTGGATTTGCAGTAGTCTTTCTTATCCACTTGACCACGCAAGCAATCATTGCAATTTCACTCTTATTTCTTTCTCTTATTATTACCCATTCGTCTCAGGCTCCTCTCCATCAAAATCGCAATTTATTCATATTGCATATATTAAACATCTGCACATGCCCATTTCTAGCAAGTGAAGCATGGAGGCCTTGGACGAAATTGCCAATTGTGTTTCTAAAGAAATGTTTGAAGCCAAAATTAAAGGCTTAAAAGAGTCTTTAAAGACAAACAAATCATCTGTAAATGTGTTTGTCGAAGAAGAGTTCTATCATCGAGTGAAGAATTATCTCAAAGTAGTCACAGAACAAGAGCTTGACATTGCAGCTTTGATCAAAACACCAGAGCTTTCAATGGCAGAAATCACCACCATCAAGTGAAAAAAGTGGAAATATGCAAATGAAAAGTTATTAACCTCAGAAGGGAAAGAAGTTGCACATAAAGGAATGCTCTTCGATATACTTTCTAAATGCCATAATAGAATTGCTCACAGAGGACGACAAAAAACTGAGAAATGGATTGCTGAGAATTATTCTGAAGTAACACAGAAAGTTGTGAATACTATTGTTTCTCTTTGCTGTTTTCACGCAGAGCAAAAACCCATAACCACCACAGTGTAACCCGTGGTAAGTCGTCTTCAAGCTGAAACACTCCTTTCCTTGATAGAAGTTGATCTTATGCATTTCAGAAATTGCCCATGTGAATGTGAACCAAAGCACAAGTGGACTATAAATATTACTGATCACCACAGAAAGTTTGTAAATGTTCACCCCATCCATAACAAACTTGCTGATGAAGTACTGAATGAAGTTCAAAAGTATTCTTTAACTTATGGCTACCCAAAAAAAATTTTAACAGATAATGGAAATGAATTTGAAAAGAATAAAATGAAAGCATTTTGTAGCACCAATCAGATCCAACTTCTCCATGGAGCAGCCAGGACTCTGACAACTCAAGGGCTAGTGGAACGGTCAAATGGTACATTCAAAGAAAACTTGAGAAGCTTGATAATGAGCACATGTGGTCTCCAAATTTCCAAATGGTGTAAGTACACAATGCAAGCATCCTACATCATGAACATTTCTTATCATCTTGCTATCAACATGACACCATATGAAGCAGTGTTTCACATGAAGGCCAAAAGGGAACTTAGACCATGATCTTGAAGAAGGCCCAGGAAAGCAGAAAAGAAAAGAAATTCAAGAGGCACAGGAAAGCTACAATACCAAAATGATAAAACAGTCTGAAGTAAATCCAAGAAAGAGAGTGTACAAAGTTCACAAAATGGTTTCAATTAAAATAGATAGTGTGGACAAGAAATCTCCTTTCTACCCAAATTTACTTCTGGGAAAAGTGCTTGAAATTGAAAATAATTATGTGAAAGTGGTGAGACCTTTTGGTCGCATTAAAGGGTTCATTGCCCCTTCCAGACTTTTACCATGTACAGCAACAAATGTAAAATTTGATTATGAAAAAGAAATTTCATTCACTGGTGCATACATGTAAATTGGCCGAAAATGCTCAATAATACTCTCAGTGTTTCCTTGACTTTGTTAGTTAAATATGGTAGATGAATTGTAAATATTCTATTTTGTTGTGCTGCAAGTAAAATATTATTTTACAGGAGTGGCAAAAAAAAAATATTTAATGTTGTCACCAAAGCCAAATATTTCTCATTTGATTAAGGGCTTGCATGAAATTGTACCCTAACCATAACCCAAACCATTCTAACAAAGCACTTGACCCCAGTAACAAAACTGGGTGCCAAATGCTACCCCTAACCTTACACGAAAGCTAACCATTTGAAATAAATGCTTAACCCTAATCACTAAAATGACTAAAATGTGAGGTCATTTTACACCGTATTTTACAAGGAGAGGTACAAATAAATAAGAACCAGTTAAGTGTTAAAAATTACTAACCAGTTTGAAAAATTTAAACTGGTTTAAAAATTCAAACCAAAGATTAAATTTGAACCACAACATATCCACCAACTGACCACATGGATCAGTAAAGTAAAGGGAACTTCTGTTATTAGATATTAAATGGCCTAAAAATTGTGATTGTAAAACAATATTTATTTTAACTAGTCTGTGGTTGAAGGCAACAAACATGCCAATAAGATCCTCTATTTCAGGGTTAAAAATTTATACCATATACAGGTGAGGAAGAAGTGAGGAGTATAAAAGTTTCCACAGCAATTGTGTACCTTTAATTGCAGCTCCATTTCTCTTCACTGAAGTAACAACATCTTCCAGGGTGTCACTGAATGTGTCTTCATCACTCAGATTCAGGCCGCTAGATGAGATGTGTGTGTGTGTAAATGTCATCTTTTTGAAATCAAACTCTATGCAAAATTCACTAAAACTAGCAAGACTTATTAGTACAAAGTGTATATTGTACCTCAGATTAAGCTCTTCAAAATCCACTGGTGCTCCAATATATCTGAAATAGTAGAATATGAAAGTTGTATGAAAATAACTACAAAATAAAATATAAACAAAATAAAAGCACATTGAATCAGTAGAGATGTTTGCTATTGTTTACTGGAGCAATTTTACTTATGACTGACCACAGATAAAAATTATTTTTATCCACTAATGATAGAAGGCTAAAGTATGAAGGATTAAACAAACCCTTGATCCCTATTAATTTTACACGCAATATATATTTAGCATATTGTAAATACAGCACTTTGTGATAATTTCAGGTTGTATTGTCTCTGTTTCAGGTAACATGACCACCTACCTGAATATATCTTTTACTGCCGTAACCATCTCTGGACCTACCCCATCTCCAGGGATTAGTGTCACAGTGTTACGGCCACCATACTTTGCGTGCAGTGAAACTACATGAGTTTGGTGGAAAGTGTTCTAAAGAAGAAGATCAAACAGTATGGAAAGTAGGACTTAAGCATAAAATATGTCTTAAAGTAGCTTATTTTCCTTATGAAAAAAAAAATTTCTACAAAGCTTGAACGAATTTAAACTTAAGCTAGCAGCTCTAGTTTTCTTTTTCTGGTATTTTTTCCCTCATCTTTTTCCCTTAAACTTTTAGCTCTGTTTTTTTTTTTTGTCTTTTTTCCCTTATCTCAAACTGGACTGAATGATATTTCAAACAAATGGTTTACTAAATCTGTTAAAATCATCACACCAAAACGATCAACCTGTAAGTCATATTTGAGCAAATTTACCACTGAGTTTTATACAAATTCTTTCAACTTAATAACATACATATATATATGTGCGAATTTTGTATTCCAATTTGTGTTCCCACCATCCACAGATCACCTAGCATAAAGCTATCATACGGAAATAGGGACAATAAATATTTTGGGTACTTCCCAGCTGAAGGTCATAAAATCCCCAGATATTTTCAAGGTGAAATAACATTATTGGTTATTCCAGTTGGAAGAGTAAGGGAATGTGTCATAATAAATTTGGAGTTTTACCTGTCTGTAGATCAGAGGTGACAGCTGACGGGCATTCCTCCTCAAAATGAACCCAGAGAAACTTGTAGCGCAGCGCAACACAGACCAACCGACAGCAGCCATGTTGTGTACCGCGGTCTCTTCTCGATCCAGCGGCAACTATATTCTGTACTTCTAAGATCTAAGATTCAGCGTGGTCATTCAGTGTCACTTTATAGTTAAACTAAGTTTGTATTTGTCTTCATCACGTTCTTCTTCTGCCTTGGTACCGCTAATTGAGTTATTCCGTGTAAGAAAAGCAGTCTAAAGCAGTCCGAAGCAAGATTGAGATGGACTGTGGCGAGCACGTTGTGTTGGATGAGACAGCCGAGTTACAATTCCTTTCAAGGGAAGACCTCATCCAAAGGGTGGTCAAGCTTACAACAGAGAAGGAAGAAATACTTTTGAAGCTTCATGGAAGCTCTTTAGTAGAACAGAAACCAGATACGAAGAACGCATTTGTAAAGGATTATAAAAATTCGGCAGATCATGGGAAAAACTTCAAGAAATCGAAGGCAAGCACTGGAAATACCAGCGAACAAAAACCATTTGATTTTTCTCGCTATCATAAACGACACGTAGCTCTAAAAATAGCTTATCTTGGATGGGACTTTCATGGCTTTGCTAGTCAAGAGAGCACAGAAAACACAATCGAAGGTCACCTTTTTGCCGCTCTATTGAAAGCTTGTCTGGTAGTAAACAGAGCTAGCAGCAATTACGCCAGATGTGGAAGGACGGATAAGGGAGTAAGTGCCTTTTCACAGGTTGTATCACTTGATGTACGCTCCAATCTGGCTGAAGGTCTTGGTGTCATTGTTAGTGGGGACACAGAAAAAGTACAACAAAGGATTGGTATGTAATGAATTTCTAATTTCAAATACCCAATCCCCTTTTTATGACACCCCAAGATCCTTTGTGTAGTTCTCTTACAGTTTGAATCTTGTTTTCATTGCAGGGTTTAATAAAACAGTTAACAAAACTTTTATTTTTGCAACATATTAAAAGTTTGATTCATTCATTGGCAGAGACAGCTAAAGAGATGTCAGAAATCTCCTATGCTCATGTTCTAAACAAGCTCCTTCCACCAGAAATCAGGATTATTGCCTGGATGCCAGTGGAACAAGAATTTGATGCAAGATTCAGTTGCTTGCACAGGACATATAAATACTTCTTCCCTGCAGCAAATCTTGATATAGAAATCATGAATTGTGCAGCTCAGAAGTTTGTGGGAAAGCATGACTTTAGAAATTTTTGTAAAATGGATGTTGCAAGTGGTGTTTTAACTTTTGAAAGAGAGCTTCTGTCAGTTACAGTTGAAAAGAATGACTCAGACAACTGCAGTGGCTATGAAATGTGCCAAATAACAATTTGTGGGTCAGCATTTCTGTGGCATCAAGTACGCTGTATGGTAGCTGTACTTTTAATGATTGGTCAGAATCTAGAAAATAAGGAAGTTATTGACTGGATGCTTGACATCAAACAGTGTCCTAGTAGACCACAATACAATATGGCCTCAGAAGTACCTCTTGTGTTGTATGACTGTTGTTATGAACAAATGTCATGGAAACATGAATGTGGGACTTTAGAAGCTTTATTGAAAGACTTTCAGACATTGTGGACAAGACAAGCCATTAAAACAACAATACTTAGTAAGTTCACTGAAAAGTTAGATGATGCAGCTGTGATCAAATGTGATGACAGAAGTAGCGTTGGTGGTGTGTGTGACAGGAGTAACATTGCTGGTGAGCGTGACCGTGACAAGATTGTTCTATGGCGTGACATGAGACAACCTCAATTCCATCAGTTGATGTCATTGGTCCCCTTCCAAATAAAGAACAAAGCTCACACACCACTAAACAAAAGAGCCAGGCATGAAAGTTTTGAATCCAAATTGGAGGTCGTTAATGCAAAGCGAAGAAAAGCTGGCAAAGAGGAATTTACAGAAAACGCAAGTGAGTTAACAATTATGGAATAAACAGTGTGTTCCATATGTGCTATCATGGTAATAAGCTGGAAACATTGGATTGTATACATATCGACTATAGTTTAAGGTTAGAAAAAAAGGATCCCACGTTCACGTTGTGTGTTTTTAGAAGCCATAACTATAGATTTATTTATTTAAAAACTGTGTTGGTTTGTGAAAAACACTGTGATTGTTCTTCCAGGAACTTGTCATGAGCAAGGTACCAGTACAACCAACAGATAGATACTTTTAATGTGAAAAATTTCTTTTATTTGTCCTGTCGGCATTTATCAGTGTGATTAGTGAATAGTGTTGTTATTTGTGACCTGTCATCGCCCGATCTTGTAATGATTTCTGTGGATTTTTAATTTGTTGTAGTAGAAGTCACAATTATCCCCAGAATATAACGATAATCGGTGGTATTTAACGATTTCTTACTAACGGAGATTTGATGCTGCATTTCTTGAATTTTAAAGGTCAAAACGTAGATTGGTGCGTATCGCTATGATGTACACGTGTACAGATTTCTAACACTAGTTAGTTAGATAGTAATGACTATAGACGGTGTTGTTGTAGGTTTTTTTTTTTTTTACGCAAATGAGGCTGTGTGAGCAATATTTTGGCACTTTGCATACCGAAGATTCTGCTAAGAAACGACATTTTAACGGCAAAACTTTCGCAATACTTTGCTGTGCAGGTGTTTCCGGAAGCACAAAAGAAAAAAAAAGGTACAATGACCATTGTTAAAGTACTTGACACTAAGTAAATACAATATTCTACAATTACATTAATATTTTGGGGCGTACATTTGATTTCACCGATTTGCAAAAGAAAACCGACATTGCAGTTCCCTTTTTCCCTAAACACAAATCAGTGATGGATTTTGCTGAATTTAAGGTGCTTTGTTTTCATTAAAAAAATTCTTTTTTAAATGTCAGAAATGTTCCGTGCAATAGGTTCTGTTGTTTTATCATATTTAACATTGGAATGAACAAATCCTGGAATATTTAGGTAAATTTGCTGCCTTTATTGGTGCAAAGTTATCTTCCACCTGTCTGTTCCTTTTGTCTAAAAGAAAACAGAACAATTCAGTTCTAAAATAAAAGAAAAACTCAATAAACATAAGCGCGGGTATCAAATCATTAGTCAATGTTCTCGAAAAGCTCCACAGGCAATCAGCACTATAATACCTTTTCTCTCCTATTTACACGAAAATGAAGGAAGTTTTTTACTGATTAAATAAAACGTCCTAAACTATTTGAAGCTGTAACAAAGTTGAATGGAGTTTTTGCCTTGTTGCTTTTAGCCGTGTCACGGTTTAGTGGATTCCAATGTTAACTTACCGGGGCCTTTGATCCAAATAAAATCTTTGGAAAATCCGCTCTCATAAAGGTGATAGGTCTACTTGAACAATTTTTAACCACATGGAGCGGTTAATGGGTGAGGGAAATTATTTTATTCAATACCTGACCATAAGCGTAATGCCATCGTTCTTCGTCGAAATCTCATCCGGTTTTTGCCAATAAAGTATTAAGATTGTTCAGGCTTTGCGATCACTCTGTTTACCGACTTAGATACAACAGAGGTAATTTCCTTACAGCACTAGCAAGGAATAGTCTTTATCGAACAGAAAGGAAAATGTTTAATGTTTTGCCTAATGCTCTCATACCAATGTGCTTTCATAACCTTGATTTTAATCAGTAGCCTTTAAAATACCTTGACAGCTGGCTAGAACAACACCATTCAGTTTACGCGTAGCTGTTGTTATGGTCATCAGGTAGGAAAAGCCAATAAACTCTCAATGTGGCTTCATTCTTTTTAAATTGGTGCATGACAAATATTTTTTTCCCTTTATTGTATATTTTTGTTTTTGTGAAATCTCTCGTGTCTTTTCTTTGCTTGTCGAAGAGAACATTGAATTCTCAATCAGCAAGTTAAAAAATTCAACCTTAATTTTCCAGACAGTTGTTTAAAATTAGCCAGAGAGTAACCCATTGAAAGCATTTTGAGAAAATCTAAAAAAAACTGATTTTGCACAATAAATATTCAGTATAAATCAATAATTGTAAATTGAGTTCGGGTATTTTCTGATTTACCGTGTCTTGAAGAAAATCTTAAAATTTCAAATAACCAACCTTGAGAACAGTGCCTGCACATAACAGTATAAACTGAATCATGTTATGAAGATTTTCGTGTCACAAGCGTTTTGTAATTGCTTGACCATTTATGTCAAAGATCTCTACGAAAAACCAAGAAAACGTGTTGAGTTAAGCTTTTGAAATGTTGACGAGATCTTTGGTGCGTACTGATTTTATATAGCCTTCTCAAGGTATTCCTCTAATATAACGATTCAGAGTAAAACGATAATTAAATCAAATGCATAAGAAAACAGTCTTGAAAAGTTGCGAATAAGTCCAGTACGCTTTTCCATTCACTGCCGGATAATATGTCCTAGTGTCTAAATGCCTTCAAGTTCGCTTTGTAATTGAATTATAATTTTAAAGAGCTATCGTCGCCAATCCCTCTTTTTAGCCGAGACATTTTTTATTGATTACTGATTATGCGAGGCCAACAGCACAGTCTAATTTTCGTAAATTACTTGGTGCTAAATTATTCCATATAAAATCACAATAATCTGATTTAGGTAATATTGACTTAAATATCCTCTCGATAGCCTGAATAGTAAGGCTATCTCTAATCCTAGATAGATAATAAGCTCAATTGGCTGGACACTTTGTTATTCATCCTTACAACCTCCCGCCTCTTGTAGTATTGAATCATCGGCAAGCTCCTCTATTAACGAAACAACAGCTGCTCTACACACAAGGGACATTTTGTTTTCGATTTCAAATCTAGCGGGCGATTCTGCTGCCGCGCTCTACAATTTCGCGCCTGCTGTCATGGTAACTGATCCGGTGAACTACCTTTCGCTCCGACGAAGGGCTAACGCTCGAAACGTCAGCTTTTGTAATCATTACGGTGGCCAATTTACCATTTCAACTTTGTTGATATATCCAAATTATAAAGCTCCGTTCCTTTGATGCACCGTGATCTCTTTGATCTTGGATCACGAATCCTGATCCGGATCCTCCCAAGGGAACGCACCCTTACTATATTGAGTGTAACAAATTTCCTCCTTTGAAAAAACGGTAAAGTCGTTCATGTTTCTGTCGGGAAAAAATGAGGGAAGAAAAAACCTTAAAAGAAACCGATTAGTCTGCTGTTCGATTTCTGTGCATGATCTCACGGATCTCACGTAAGGATCGCAAGTATATCCATGGGTTGTAATCTTTGTCAATGAGAGTCAATTTGGTTTGCTTTAGCACGTATCATTTTCAACACTAACTAACCGAGAAAGGAAAACAACTCAGTAGGATTCTGAGAAACTAACTCACGTGTTAAAACCCTTTTTACATGTTCGGCGCTCATTTGTTTGTTTACTTTGAAAGCTGGCTTGTAAAAAGAAAATTGTTTATTTAGCTTAACTCACCAATCTGAAGAAACATTCGCCGAGAAGGAGAGAGACATATGAGAATCCACAAGAACAAAACTATGGCTGGAATAGAGTTATGTTCTGCACCGAGTGCTCAGAGTCTTGGAGTAAACTCCACTACCTTCCGCAGGAGTCAGAGGAGGGTAGAAGTATGTTTGCTGAGTCTGTGTGGAATACTTCTTTTGATATGCACTGTGTTAGCGGTATTATTTGCTGTGGAACTTTCCAAAGGCAGTCATCACGACGCAAAGCCAAATGGTACTGTAAATGGTCGGGCTGTGCCAACAGCATCAGCGCCATTTTCCACTAGTGAAAGCCCAGTATCACCAAGGATGTGTAACACTGCTGATTGTCTGGAGACTGCAGCCCGCTTCACAAGGAACATGGACCATTCTTTCGACCCATGTCAGGACTTTTTCCATTTTGCCTGCGGTGGATGGATACAGAACAACCCAATTCCTCCGCACAAGAACGAGTATATTACATTCATGAAAAAGATTCAGGCAAACAACGAGAAACTTAGAAATATGTTGGAAGATGCCACCGGAGAATACGATGACCCAGTAATGAAAGCAAAGAGGTATTATCGCTCGTGTATGAATGAAGAAGAAGTTGAGAGAACTACTAAACAGCAAATGTTGGAGCTCATAGAGAACCTTGATTCATGGGCTCTGGACAACGGAACGTGGAATAAAACTGTATGGAACTGGAAGACTGCTCTACTAAAGATTCAAGCAACCTTTTTACATTCTTCGCCTCTGTTTACTGTTGATGTGTTAACTAACCCAAGAAATTCAGCGAAACATATTTTAAAGGTAAGCCCACGACAGCACCACACCTTGCTGATGCTTATTTTTACAAAGATTAAAAAGATTCTATCTTAGTGGTAAAAAAAAAGCGTAAAATTGCCAGGTGTTCATGATTCAATTATCCGCAACAATTTCTCGGAATGCACTTTGATTCAAAGGAGCTGTGGAAGGACAAAAGGCGAGAAAAACAAACAATTATTGTTATGGAAAGTTTGGTTTTATAAGTAATGACTTCATTTGGAAATAAATGCGTTAAACCCGTTAATCTGTTCTGATTTTATGCAAATGACCATCGTGATCGCTTGTCTTTGACTTTGCCTTGAAGTTCTGGGAGAGTTATCAGCAAAAGAGGTGCAGTCGTTTTAACACCAACGAACAATTTGTTGCTAATTTGCCGAATCATTCCCTGAAACAGAAACATCGTTGCTTGAATAATCCCCTAGTTTATTCAAATTGAAATGTTTTGCCTTTTTCTTTCTTTCAGCTACTTCCCCCGGAATTAAGCTTGATTCGTGAAGAATATCTGTCGAAGAACAGTAAAGTAAGTGTGACCGATAAAGAAAGCCAGGCTATCCCAGTCCCAGGACCCAGGATAACCATCACAAAAGGCAGCTTTTGATCATTTTTCTTGGAATTAAACGCCAGCAGGTCTGAACTTTGATGAGACTTCATAATCTCTACCTCGGATTTAGTCTGTAAAAAAAAAAAAAAAAATCAATAATTCTGAATTCGAACAAATTTGAGTTATTCGGCCATGATTATATCAGATAAATGGATCATTGTATTGTCGTGCAGTGTTTGATTGATCTTTAGCATGTGTAATGAGTCTTTATGTGTTACGAGTAAACTTTAACATACTGTCTCATTATGATAGTGATCATTCGCGATGCATTTTCATAATGCGTTATAATTGTGAATGTCTTTATTGGTTTTATCTTTGGATGAGTCAATCGTGTCAGCTAGTACCATTCATTTTGTTATTTGTATTCGTTCTCCCTTCAGAGGAAACCTGCATATCTTGAGTATATGACAACAGTGGGGATGCTGCTGGGAGGACAGAATACCACCACCCAACAGCAAATGAATAGGATTCTTGAATTTGAAGAACAACTCGCTCGGGTACCTTGTAGACATTTGACCTTATGATTGGTAACATGCTATCATTTGTCACTCAGTTCTTTTCCGCTGTTCATGTTTTTGATCCTTTGGTTTTGCGATTCTCTGGGGAATTATTTCCATAACGCAATGTTGCGTAAAAGAATATGACACGACAGTCCTTTCCACCGTCTTTTCTTTTTCATGTTTAGAGTATGCCCTCCAAGACTTTCCTCTACGAACATGAACATGACACAATCACAATACGAGAACTGCAAAACCGCGCTCCTCAGGTAAGAATTATTGAATTCTTTGCTCACTGCCACAATCTTGCTTCAACATTTGAAATCCTGTGATGTTCGTGGTCGCCGAAACGTTTGTAGGAGATATGATTTACCATGTGTTCCATCAGAAATCTTTACAGATAAAATGTTGGCATCTCTTGGCATTAAACTACAATTTCTATTTCTCAATTCCATCCGTTTTGTTGCGTGAGAGGAGTGGGAGATGATGGGGGAGGGGAGGGGGAGGGAGGTAAGAGTTATCAAAGTGCCTTTTGTTACCAAAGTGCCCTTATACATTTTTTCGTTTTGTTGCGTGAGAGGGGTGGGAGGGGGGGAGGGAGGTAAGAGTTCCTCGTAACTCCAGTCCAAATTTACTTTAACTCATCAACATGATTTCACTGCAGTTTCAATGGCTACAACATTTGAACAGCCTGTTCAGCGAGTATAACACAACACTGGATGGCTCTGAGGGCATCATCGTACCTGCACTTGAGTACCTCAGAAACATGGCCGAAGTTTTACATGCTACGGACAGGGAGTAAGATAGCGCAATAATTTCCACTTAATCTTGTTTAGAAGATCATTTGGCTCGTGATCATCGATTGTCTAGACTGTTCAAAGCGTGTAACAACAAAATCACCAAGTTACTTTTTTTCAACTTTAGTTACGAAAAACACTTCTTACACTAATGAAAAACACGCATTACACAACTTCTAATGCAACCAGATACTCTTACAATACTTATTTGTGCACGATCCTCGCAGTAAAGAGCACTTTTTAAACAATAGTGAAAATCAGACCTGAAAAAATTCAGGCCTGCAAGGGATTCGAACCACTGACCTCTGCGATACCCGTAAGATGATAAATCAAACACAACGAATTTATGAACTTCATATATCTGAACTGCGGTTATAGAAACGTATTTGTGCGCGATCCTCGCAGTAAAGAGCACCACTATTTAAGCAATAGTGAAAATCAGACCTGAAAAAATTCAGGCCTGTACTGACGGGATTCGAACCACTGACCTCTGCGATACTAGTTGTTAGCTTGTTAGCTGAATTGGTAAAGCGCTGTCCGAAGGTTAATTGACCCTCAACCTATTTATAAGAGATTACTTGAGTATATCTACTTCAACGAGAGATTTCAATTTTAAATTTTACTCCATCATGTTTTCTTCTGTAGAACCTTGTCCAACTACTTTATATGGACGGTTTTAAGGCGATTAGTTCCATTCCTATCCAAGCCTTTCAGAGAGGTCGAGGCCAATTACAAAAGGAAAACTTCTCATATTCAAGGCGAAGCAGCAAGATGGCTTACTTGTATCACTACCACAAACTTTTACCGCGGGCTCACATTTGCTACTGGAAGCCTGTTCATTGAGAAGGCTTTTGACAGAAAAATGATCCCATTGGTTCGTGTGAAATATGCATTTTGAATTAAGGTCGTGTTTGAATAACAGCGATGTTTCCTTTAGACGTGTTTCTTTTAACGTGTTGACGTTATACAAGTAAAGAAATGATCTCCGTAGGTGAGCTGGACACTAGTTGGGCGCTACTACCAAGTTAGGCACGAAAGCAGCAAATTTTATTGGTAAAGCAGAAAATTTTATTGGGCGCTTAGTTCTCGCAAAGGAATGCCATTGTAGGTACAGAAAAGAAATGATATCTTGATATGTGTCCGATATTCGAGTTAATAAATGATGTTCTTGATACTTTCCTTCACGGGAACGAATAACTTATAAAACTGAATTCCTTTGCTCACAACATGTCGCCTGGTAGTTCAGCTAGCGGTAACCCCCAACGATGTCTGAGGGGCATGGGTTCAAATTCCGTCGAAGATGAATATTTTATGGCTTCTTTCCTTCAATTTTTTTTTAATTACAGCTCGACAGGGAATTAAGATCATTTCTTTGCTTCCAATAGACGATCAAGGAGAAATTCAAGGGTAGCTTATCTTTCTTAAAAGAGACAAAACCACCCAAAACAGATAAAAAATTGATCAACGAAAGAGGATAGTTAGATTTAATAAATGGCAAATTGTAACAATTATTGTTCCCCTCCAAGGTTAAGGAGATGATGGAAGACATTCGACAAGCTTTTCGAGAAGAAGTAGCCGACTTGTCATGGATTGACGACGAGACAAGACCTACTGTATACGAGAAGGTCAAACTTTTATGTAATCTGTTATGTGATAGGTCAACAGGGCATCAACAAAGAAAATGTGACCCACATTAAATTCTTCTGGAGAATTAATACGGATTTCATCTCAACTAATCATTCTGTTTCTCCTTTTTTTCCATGCAGGAAAAAGCGATGGTTGAGAAAATTGGTTACCCTGAAATGTGTGTGAACAAAACCTTACTCGGAGAGTATTATCAACGGGTAAGAGATAAATGCTTCAACGTTAAAATCATAAATGCTTTGCCTGTTTCTGTGGCAAGATAAAATTTTATCTTTGACACCTAAACTGTTAGAGGATGGTAACATACCTGAATATAATAATTTGGCTCCTTTTTCAGCTTGAAGTGGATGATAAAAGATTTTTGCTAAATGAAGTGAACGTGAGCAAGTGGTACTCATCCCAATCCCTCTCTAAACTTAGGAAACCCTCCATTAGGGGACAGTAAGTTCAATGAGTTGTTTTTTCAGCAGACACCTGTAGGTTTGCAGTTTCTTCCGATTTCACTTGTTTTGGTTCTGGAAAAACAAAAAAAAACAAACAAAAAAAAACTACCAACGGCACTCATTACAATTTACCACCACCAGGTCTCAATGAACCTCGATTGCTACGATGAAATGCGCATGCTTGTTTTTTAGTTACTAGCAATAATGATAATGATAGCAATAATTATAACAAGTTATGTTTTTGTGGCGAACTATACAAAACAGACACATCTCCTATACGGGCACTACTACCTTAGGGAAATGTTTAATTTCGACAGTGTCCTTAATTGGTGTAAACTGCGCCACAGATGTAGTTGACACGAATAAAATTTATTACTCACTCATTCACTTTAGATACAACCAATATACGTACAACTATTCTAAGGATGTATATACTCATGCCCAGCTAGCTTCCCCTAACAAACGCATAACCTGGTATCCGTAAGAATAAGCAGTTGACTGAAATGAAACGGCTAATCCACGCATGCGTGTTAATGACTTTTCTTTTGATTTCGTGACAGATGGTACAGTGGGCCACAGTCTGTTAATGCTTACTACCAAAGAGAGAAAAATGAAATAAGTATGTCGTTTATCATAAGTTTCGCGTGCAAGTATTGGCTCAGCTGCTCGAAAAATCATCAAGTGTTTGTAAATTTTTTTATTTCGATTTCAGATATTTTGGCAGGAATCCTTCAGCCGCCATATTATAGCGGCCGCTTTGCACCACGGTATGTAAGGACATCGTGAAGTCAAGACAACTATGACCTCGGCATTACATTGATAATTCGCTGTCTGATAACGACACGTGTGCAGTGATTGTGCATTGTTCTAAAATAGTAGAAGGTGCTTATATAGCCGATAAGATTGAAATTCTATTTAATGTATACAAGTCAATGACGGTTTATCAATACACACGCAGGGCAGTCAATTTTGGTGGCATCGGAATAATCCTTGCTCATGAACTAACCCATGGTTTCGACAACATAGGTAAGATGTTTCTTTTTCCAACACCCCTTCGCACTCAGCTGTTTAATCCGGCTTGTTGATAAAATTCAGAGTATTTACCTTTTATTCCAGTCCTGTTGATTTATTTTGAAATGTCTTACATACATACATACATACATACATACCTACCTACCTACCTACCTACCTACCTACCTACCTACATACATACATACATACTTTATTTATTCTAGAAGCAGACTATGTATACACTAAGAGGAAAGGGAAAATATGCTTCCAGAAAAGGAAGTTTGCTTTTGTGAGTTAAAACATAACACTGCGAGTCAATTATTTCTTCGTCCCCCATATTGATCATTTAGTTTTTCTGTTACTTTCAATCTTAGTTATTTTCCCTGTCTCTTTATGAAGTGCTATGGAAGTTGAAGATCTTAGATCAAGGCTTTCTTCTCTTGTTAGGTCGAAAGTTTAACCAGTACGGTGAGATCAGTACACAATGGTGGACTAACTTTACTCTCACTGGATTCCAAAACAGATCCCAATGTTTTGTTGACCAGTACAATAAATACCCACTCCCACTGAATGTGGGGGGCGACAGGCAGATTTTTGTACGTATTATGTAGCAGCAACCTAATTGTTTATTAACCTCATAAATTTAAAATAAAGTAAGAATGGCCGCAAGATGTTTGCCCTCCAGTCTGGGTTGACATCAGAATTCAATGGCTTTGTCCCAGTTCAAACATATATGCTACCAGTAAATGGCGGTTAAAGTGACATTACTCATTTAAAAAAGCATTTCCTCAAAAATGCGTTAAAGCATTATAAACAAACTTGCTATTTGAAAAGTGTACACAACCGGCTGAAATGTTAAGTGATGCCGTGCACCTTACCTATATTACTTCGACATTTTTCAGGTGAATGGTCGACTGACATTACCTGAAAACATAGCGGATAATGGAGCTCTCAAGATCGCTTTCCGGGTAAGAAATAGTTATTATTATATACAAATATAATTACAACATAACATGTGATATGCACGCTACGATTGAAATAGTCCGTAGTTGTGACCAATATACGAGTAAAGCCCCCAGCCTGCTACTGCAGGAACTCTCTCACAAGTCAGAAGCACTTCCCTGGAGCCCGCATGGCCAGAAATCCGTGACAGTCAGCGGTTTGTAAGCGAAGACAGAGTTCGACATCGATCCGCATGCGTGGCAGCCATGCTGTCACGGATTTCTGGCCATGGCTTTAGCGAGTTAAGTTCAGTCCAAGCCGGAAGTACGGCTTTGTTTTCCTCGAAATTCTTTAAAAAACGTACAATGTGAGTTTCTTCCTCAGGCTTATGAAAACTGGCTGAGAAAACACGGCAAAGAGGAACTAGTACCCGGGTTGGACAGATCCAGTGAACAGATGTTTTTCCTTAGCTACGCTCAGGTAAAGTGACTTTTTTAAAGAACTTGAACATCCTCCATAAAAGGAGGTAATAAATAAGGCAGTTTATTGAGAATTAGACAAGTTCATATAAACTAGATTGGCTCAACAGAAAGAAAGCAATCGATTTCATCAGTAGAGGGACCTATTTTGTCTCAATCACTTTTTTTCTTAATAAAATCTTAGAAATAACTTGTTTGCTTGTTTATTTCGCTTACGTACCACAATTTGCTGAGCACAATCGGATTGATAAAAATGTTTTATTTTTTTTATGAACTGACACTGTTGTTTATCCTCTGACCCAATTTGTATTGTGTCCTTAGATGTGGTGCAGCTCTTTCAGTCCTACGCAGATCTTCAGAAGAGCAAAAGCTGATCCCCATGCCTTACCTATTTACAGGCAAGTCTATCGCTAGCAATAATTAGTTTCTGAGGAGCCCACAGATCGAGTGAGTGGCCAGCATTCTGAGAGCAGTGAACTCTCCGCAGGAATTCGAAAACTTAAAGCACTTAGAAGGAGGGAAAAGCCTTGTCTCGTTTGTACGTCCTTACAAACGGTTAGTTTTTCTTTTCAGGGTAAATGGTGTCTTGTCAAATATGGAGGAATTCGCGAAGACGTACAAATGTCCAAAGGGAAGTAACTTAAATCCCGAAAAACGATGCAGAGTTTGGTAACACTGCGGAAGTATTCATATGCGGCTTCAAAATAAAAACGATTGGTAAATTTCATTGTTACAAACTGTAAATAATGCTGTCGTTAAGTGACATCCAAAGAACTTGTATGCGACTGATACAAATTTATTTTAAACTGTTTTTGATTGGAAAAACTTTGAGCTAATTCATGCACCACATTACTGGATGTCTATACCACAATGGAACTTTCCGTATTGCTTTTTTGGTTTGTAACTTTCATTTTAACTACCAGCTTGTGATGAGGGTAGAGGCCATCTCATAGAGAATTTACCTCAACAAATCATGAATGAAATCTTTAAAAATCGTTCAGATATAGCTATTATAAAGTATTCTGTCACGAAGCGCAATGTGGTTCTTGTCAAAATATTAAGAATAAAGAAAATGCTTCATATTGTAGAACGTTTTTTTGTGTTGCGTTTTTTTTTTTTTGTCACAGAAGAGAGCCGGGGCATTGCAGTGATTGCTGACTTAAATATAATTTTGTAGACATGAGGCTGGTGCTAGTTTTATTAGCGACATTTCTTCAAACTCTGTTCAATTTGTTCAATGAACAAAATCCTATTGGTTTGTACGCATTGTACAGCACTCGCCAACGGCAAATGTTTGCTCTTGCCGCTTTAAACCGACGTCAACGGATGCAAAAAATGGGAAAAGATCTGCGAGCCAAAGGGTGAAAACAAGCCATTCCCATACTGAAAATAATCAGGTGAATAGTGCAAATTTGTAAATTGGTATGGGTTGAAATTCGCCCTAAGGACCAGATGAAACGTTGTAAAGAAAACTGGCGACGTGTTGTCTTTGCAGAATTTCGAAAATCCAATTTTTGCCGGTATTTCGGACTTGATTGACCTTGCGACAGAAGAAAAGCAAAAAATTGTTATTTTAAGGCCATTAGACAAGATATGACCTGCTTTAAGGCAGGACGTCGGCTTTTTTGATCTTTAGGTCCTTCGGACATAGTTATGTCTGGTCGTGACAAAAGGGTCGCTCTTGTCGCAACCACGCGATGACAGATTTTATGTCCAATGTAAACACCAAAAGCGTTAGTGCGACCCCTGCTTTACTAAACGAAGATGAGATGAGATAACACAAATCGCCTGACGTTAGACGGAGCACAACTTAATTTAACCTCCCGAGGATAAAGTCTCATCTAGGAAATTTTCTTTTCCTGGTGAAGGGGCAGCTCAGTACGCCTCCATATACAGAGAATGCAAAAAAAAAAACAATACTTCACTTTTACGACAAGCAGTTAGCCACTTTAGTCATTTTAAATACCTCTTTACAGTTAATATACTAACACTAAACTATTTACTATGTATTCACTATGAATATATTAACTCTGTTTTCTTCATGTCCTTGATTTTACTCAGCACGCTTTCACCGTTCTTAAATTTTACTTCTGAGTAGATTTACCATTACTAATACAAAAAACAGTTTAGGTGAAGTGTGATCGTCTGGTCAAAGCTGTCCTCTTGACTCTGATAATGACTTCCGCTTAGGTGGTCGAAATATCATCCTCTGTAACCGACAGCTGTCCTCAGTTCAGACCATCAGACTACATGTTATTCATGCTTTCAAAACTACTTACCGTGAAGCAAGTATCTAGCTACCAAATATACCTACCTAAACTCCAAGATTTAGTTAAGCTTGCTGCATCGACTTTGATAGTAAATGTACGGGTGAACTTGTAAGGAACTGCCATTTACTTCCTGTAACCATCTAAGGCCCATTTCTTTAACAAATATAATTATGCGTCTGTTAGAGAGACTAGTGTATAGGAATGAACCCTTATCTATCGTGTGCGCTAACCATCGCATCGATTTAGACCAGTTTGCTTCTCGAAAGGGACATAACTCTACCATGGCACTATTGAAGTCCCAGCATAACTGGCTACAGTGGCTTGATTGAAATACGGACTTCGCGCGGATCTTCTCGTTTGATTTTCGCAAGGCGTTCGATTGTCTCTCACAGAATATTAGTTAGTAAGCTTAGGGATGTGGATATCAATCCATATATACTAAACTGGCTCAACAGTTTCATTAGTAATAGAAAGCAACGGGTTTTGGTAGATAACATCACTACTGAGTTTATAGATATAACCAGGGGTGTCCCCCAGGGGACGGTGCTAGGTCCCATATTGTTCTCTCTGATGATAAATGATATAAAGCCATTTCGCCCCTCTAGCCTAATGGTTAAATTTGCGGATGATATCACAGTCAGCATCCCTGTTCGCGCTGAGGATGGCAACATAGCCGAGTCTGAAGTTAGTTCTATAATGGAGTGGGCTGAAAAGAATCAAATGACACTCAATTTGAATAAAACATGGGGAAAGGTTATTAAAAAGTGGTAGCCTGAAAGTTCCACCAGCTCCTCTCGCTATTTTGGAGCGTAAAACCAAACTATAGCTGCTTGGGGTTACTTTTGAGGATGACCCTGTGAACTAGGACTCACATATTGATCACGTACTTAGTAAGGCCAGCAGTCGTATGTATATTTTAAGAGTTTGTAGAGTTTATGGCTACCCTAAGGAGCAATTAGATCAGCTCTTCCAAAGCCTAATTATTTCAGTCTTCACATAGGCTATCGAGGTGTGGGGTTGCTGTTATTATGATAAATATCTTAAGAGAATAGACAAACTGTTTGCTAGGGCTTTAAGTCAGGATATTATTTGAAGAAATATAGTATTTGTGATATTTTAGCCACCAGAGATAGCAAACTATGGATCAAGATCACTTCAAATACCACTGCACTTGATCTTTTACCGCCGAGACGTACTAGGCAATTACGCAATAGGGGCCATGATTATATATTACCTAGAGTTCGTACTTCACGTTTTAAATCCACTTTTGTAAATAGATGTCTTTTTAGCATTGTCTGCCATTAATAGTTAGTTGTATTTTCTATCTTAATCTGTTTTATATTTCATTCTTTGTAAATAATGACACGGTTGATGCATTTTTACTTTTAATAAAGACCATTATTATTATTATCGTTATTATTAAAAAGCACAAATTAAGAGAGGGCTTCTTGAAATTTTGGATTGGAAGATTTAAATGAGTTGATATTTGTAAACTTCCTGATTTAATGAGTTTTATTCATACAAAACCCTTTTTAAGAGCGGCTTGGTTGCCCATAAGATAACTGAACAAAGTAACAGCATCTCATCCTGTTAGGGAAAAAGTTCATAATCGTAGCTGCTCGAGACTAACTACACTACAACGAAAACTAACCTTTGAGTGAAATACGTACCTTATAAATTGCGAATAAAACTTAAAACGAAGGTGCTATACAATAACTTCCATCTACACGCAACACTTGGGAGATTCCCTGAACGCAAAATGAACACTTTTGTCCCACAATTCTTTCAAATCCCTCTCGAGGATTATTCGACAGTAGAAACTGGGCAGATGGATACTTATTATCAGTCAAACTGCATTTTCTTTCCTTGCTCTTCAGTATTACACACACACACACACAAACCATCGCACGCTGGTGGCAATTTTGAAAATAAAGTGGTTCAATACTGCAGTCACCTCGCACAGCAAGATATAAAGGAATCGCCATGAGGTCTGAGCATGCATCTCCATGATAACTTGTAATAAGTGGCATACTTAGTTAACAGTTCATGTTGCAGTTAACTTGAAAGAAAGGTCAAGAAGCCGCTGGACACAAACAACCTGTTACTCCAAGGGATTAACAATAGGGGCGGGATAGTCTCGATCAATCACACAGCCGCAAGATTCCTGAAGTTCGCATGGAGCCAGCCAAGGTTCAAACACAAAGTCCGTCGGAATATTCCTCACTTCTGGCACATATTTTCTGAAAAGAAAATTTCAGCACGATTCAAAAGACAGACCAGCTTTCTTCAAATACTTGATATAAATTGCTTTCTATTGATATCTAGACATCTATGACAGAACTAAAACCCATCAGGTACCCAAAGTATAATGACAATCACTTACCGAACATATCCACCACTTGGATCAATTTTCTTTCCGACTTTCACAGGACAGAACCAAGGCACCTGCTCTTCCACAAAAGTACTTCCGGACAGCCACAGCCAGTGACCGGCATTGAGGCTCCTTTCCGAGTCAAGTTGAAGTTCTTCAAAGACCTTATGAAACAAATTTTGAGATAGTTAATTTCAAAATTTCGAGAATAAACACTGAAATAGACTAATAACACAAAGATCAACGACTAGCTCAGAGAAGTGTTATATTCATTTATGTACAAAAGTGCTACAAAAACAAACTAATTCCGACCTTAAACCCCTCTCGCCAGTTAATCCTCAGACAACTGCGTGTCAAAAATGAGACTATGGCTCGTCGTGCGATGTCGTGAATCCAACCTTCTGAGCGTAGCTGTCTCATGATTGCATCAATCCAAGGAAAACCAGTCATACCCTATAACAACAATTAAAATCCGTGCGTTACATACAAAGCAATACAGAATAACATTTGCTTTACACGAGTAAAAAAGCCGTACCTTAACAATTAAAGTATTATCCTTTTTTAAAAACAAACGTGTAGCGTGGAAAGCAGTTTGAGTAGAGACATACTAAAAGTATGGAACAAGTGGCATATCCCAGATAAAAATGTTGCAATTCATTAAGCAATTTAAAACATTTATAATAGATTTATTATAACAAAAAGTGTCCTAATTAGGAGTCTTTCCTTTTGATATCTGACCTGTTTCCATTTCTCAAAATGCTCTGGATTTTCTTCCAAAGGGGTCTGTACATTAAGCGGGTTGCTTATCATTTCGTGTACATCTGATACTTGGCTTCCAACAACAAAGAAGAACTCGCGCCACAACAGTTTGTTGAAAAGATCGAAGGATGGACTCATAGCCTTCCTCTGCAAAAACGCCAAAGAATCAACTCAAGATCCATCCGCGATAGGGGATACGACAGAAGTAAGTAAAGGGAAACTTGAGTCTGACCGCATATGAAATCAGCTTTACGTTCAAGAACGAGAAATTGACAAGATGGAGACGGCACTGAATCAGGTCAATGGCTGGGATTATATCGCCTCCACAATGTTCATTTATAGGAAAGACAAACAGTCGACTGGACAGTAAATCTCGCTCAAGAAATGACAAAAAGAAATAATAAATGGTTTGTTTTTAGAAGTCGTTTCCACCGGAAAACGTACCTCACGCTGTGTACTGACAAATTAAGTCCACTCAGGACTACAAATCGAGGTTAGTCTTAACGCAAACTCCTCGGACAACATACTTCCACAAAAGAGACATTGAGTAACTTAGTGGAGTTTACAAATCTAAAAGCCTCAGTGGAGTTGGCAGCCGTTCTCTGTGCCCCCTTGTTTTCCTTCCCTTAATACTGACACGAACGGGTTGGAACTGTACCTTGATATATTCCTCAGTCATTTTCTGGTAAAGGAGCCTGGAAGACAAACAGCCCAGCCTCAAGTAGGGGCTCAGGTGACACGGTGACGGCATCAGCGAGCGGACTGTTAACGATGGCTCGCAAAAGTCGTTCTTTATCATCTGCAGGAATTATTTTTACGACGTCATAATAAGAAATGCAAAGAGCTTAAGCCCATATCATTAATTAATAAATCAAGATATGGTTAGAGTTCACCAGTAAAGTCCAAGGAATTTTCTTTACTTGCCTTCCATAAGCTGATGGGCAGTGAGCTCAGAAGCAGAACATACGACTTAAAGTAGAGTGGAACTTTTCTAACAGATGGGCGTAAAGACTACAATTTAAAAGTACCTACTTTCAATGCCATTTGTTCAAGTTCCCTTCATTTGAAAGGCTAACATCACAAAGTGAACGTGTAAAAGTCAATCACCTGATTCAAATTAGTGGTTTGTTTTCTAGACAACATGTAACATTTCACAAAGCAAGAGCAATTAACCAAAGAGAAAAATAAATGCCCTTAGCAAAAGTCTTCGAAACCGGAAAACAACTGACTCAGAGGGCTAATTCTAGCAAAATATCGAAAAGGACTCTCACCTCGCATAAAGCTGCTTCCATCCTTGACAACGCCTCCCTCTCGCCACCTTGATAAAACCCCGAGCCAATAAAAGGCAGATTTTGGATGTCAAGAGCAGGGACAGCGTACCGCGTCTCATGATCTCTTCCTACGGGAGTCACGCACGACCCAAATAGCTCTCTGTCAACCCTTGGCACTGGTTCTGGAGGTCGCCCAAATTGCATGACAAGTTTTTTAAAGTCCTCAAAAAGTAGGGGTGCTTGTGCGTCCGGTGATTTTAATAGAGCTTCAGTGTCATAGAGGGTGTGTGACACGTGGCTGATAACTTGGATTCCAGCTTTCTCGGCAACAGCAGTCAAAGCCTCGTCCCTTGTTTTACAATTTGGCTCACAATCAACCTCGAACGACAGCCGAGTGATGCCCCATTGTTTAAAAAGAGACGGTAAGATATCTGTGGGTCTTCCCTTCAATACAAACAGACGCGAGCCGAACTCGGCCAGACTTGCGTCTAGGTCCTTTAGTGATTCAAGCAATAAACGCCAACGGTTTGGACTGGACTTTTCTTCTTCACAACTATCGAGAACATAGACTCCATAGAACACTGCACTGCCTACAAGGCAGTCTCTCAAAGAGGGATTATCGTGAAGTCGAAGGTCCTTCCTAAACCAGTGAAGACTGATGGGTTCTGAAATAAAAACGTAACATAAACGTTCATTGTTTTACGGTCATCTAGGCGTATTTTGAACTTTTCGAGAAAGCGAAGCACAGAAGAAATTTTTGATATAACTTTTGACAAAGGTTCATCAAAAGGGTCCTTTGGGAAAAATAAAATGAAAGACGAAATTTTAATAATGTCGGTAAATTCTCGATTATTAATAACAATAATAATAATCTTTAGACAGGGAACGTTCTCACAAAAGTGATTTTCAGAACAGCCCTGTAAAGAAATTAGTTAAACAAGTAATTAAAAATAAAAGAACAAATTACAGACAGTTCGAGAGCAAAGATAAAAGGATGAGATTGCTACATTACAATTTAAGGATTATGAAAAAAGATGAAAATTGAAAATTGACAAAATACTACGATAAAAACTGCACTTTCTTTTTAAACAATGGAATTGATTTAGTTCACTGAATTTCTGGATTAAGATTATTGAAATCGTTTGAAGCCTGGTATGTAAGTTTTTGTTTTCCCCATCATACCTCTCTCTCGAGGTATGATGCAAGAATTTCAATAACATTAGTTCTAAGCGGCCACTGAAGATTTAATAGGCGGCAATGAGCACTAAAATCACTTTTTATTTTCATTATAATGAAATCCAAACAGACGGCGGTAAGAGGTCCTACAGGCGGCGGTAAGAGGTCCTACAGGCGGCGGTAGACCGCCGGTAACCGGCTTTTATTGAAACCCCCGATGATGGGTATTTAGGAGCGTAATACGCGCCATACAATTCACTCTTTTTCCACCTTAAATTTTGAGTTGGCGGCTATTGCGCGTGGAAAAATTTTGTCGGTTTCCGCATACACTTCTCATGTCGAGTTGACGTTTCCAGTTTGATGAAAACGCCTTTTGCAGACAGCACAATTGCAAACTTAATTTTGTACTTGTTATTGGATCAAAATTTATTAAATTTATGCCAACGATAGGTATACTATTGTAGTTTATGACATGCAAGTTTTGCAGCTTTAGTTAAATCTTTATATCAAAAAATAGCTTTCATGTAGGGGTTGGTACATGAAGAATGCAAAGTTACGGAAGCGCCTGTTTAGCAAGATGTTCCGTCAGTGAGGGAAGCACATTTTTTTTTAATGAAACATAAAATGCATTGGTCAAGAACAAGACCTAAATGACAGCTTCCATCTTCGAAAATCTCAGGGGATGACAACAAAAAATATGTGTGCAATACTGTTATTTTCCTAAAAAAAAAGCGCAAAATCGGCATTCACAAGAACTGCGTATGTTCTTCAAGACCGGATTTTTTCATTCAGCAATAGAGGAAACAAAATGAAAAGAAGAAAATCAGTAAGCTACAACACACCTTTACTTCGTGTTGAAGTCACTTATTAAATGAAATGCTAAGAATCGCTATACTTAATTGAGAAGGATGCATGTTCTCCTTTTACAAGGGAATTTTTGAAATTGCGTTGACGTCTTTTCAGTTAAACAGTTCTCTAGCCCTGATGCTATAAAAGGTTTTGTGAAGTTTTTGATTAAACCAATTGACTTTTAAGGAAAGGCAAGTTCTGCTTCACTTTTAAAAAAAAGGTAGATTTAAAATGCAATTCGGCGATCAAAACGTCCTGCAACTGACCGAAAATGTAACAATCTTTGGAGACACACGTAATCCTGCTGATAGGAATTGGTATTTAAATACAAAGAAAAGAACCTACTCCCTTTCACAAAAAAGCTCAACGTATGTTTTTGCATTTGACTATACTCAGTTCTTTTTAATGCTATTTGCAGATCGACGCTCTGACGTGACCTGGCATTGGCCGAAGGATTTGGGTTACTCAGCTGCGTTTTCTAGCTTCCGTAAAGTAATAGTGATGCAGAACATCGACGAGCGCGCCCTTTCGACTTGCCGACAAACGATACCGCTTTGGTTAGTTACGTTGACGACACATTCATCGCCGTACGACACGACGAAATCGACGCATTCCACTACCACCTTAACGGACAAAACACTGACATACAGTTTACCAGAGAAGTCGAAGAAAATAGCAAACTTCCTTTTCTATACTGTCTGGTAAGCCGTAACGACAACTCCAGTTTACAGGAAACCGACACACACCGATAGATTACTGGACGAGTCATCCTACAACCCTACATCACACAAAGCCACAACTATCAGAACTCTAACACGACGCGCGCAATTAGTATGCGACTCAACAGACAGCTTATCCGACGAGAATAAATACCTTCACCGTGTTTTTTCAAAGAACAACTACAACGACTTCATCCGACGAAACACTCACCGACCCACTACCACTACCGAAACAAACGACACCGCAACTCCTACGACTACAGCAACCATACCGTACATAAAAGGCATGTCTGAGAACATCTCGCGCATCTTACAACCCTTCAATATCCGCGTCGCCCACAAACCCATCACCACACTACGTCAGTTACTAACCAACGTTAAAGACAAGGACGAACCGAGGAACAGACACGGAGCGATTTATAAGATCAATTGCTCTGACTGCCAAGCCTCCTACATCAGAGAGACTGACTAAACACAGACGGGCAAAGAGGGAAGGTGATGTCAACAATCACATTGCTAAACATCATCGACTTACGAACCACAATATTGACTGGGATCCTGCGCAATGCCTAACCTACAGCACTGACTACTTTCAATGACTGACTCTGGAAAGCTGGTTTACTAACGTAGAACAGACTCCCCTAAACAGATGTCAACAACTACCCGCCCCATACAAACGACTCATTCACGACATAAACATTACAAAGGAACCGAACAGAACGACCTAACTGTACCGACGGATCAAAACAGAGCAATCACGACTGACTTACGTCACTTGAGTCTTACAGCCAATAACATCACGGCAAAACTGACCAATCATCTTACACGAACTGAAATAAGAACATTCTACTCTCAACAACTATTCACTTGACTCTGATGATGACTTCCGCACAGGTTGTCGAAACGTCAGTCACTACAACCGACAACAGTCCTTCTCAGGACTACACTCACCCGGACGAACACACTACACTTCCACATGTTACCGAGCTCAAGCAATTTACTGCATAAAGTAAAAGCGTTCATGAAAGAATGAGAAATTCATTGTTTCTATTCACGCTTAAACCTAACAAGACAATCAGACATAAACTACAGAGCGCGTTAAGAACTAACAAAACAATCAAACGTAAACTATAGAGCGCGCTCAGACCTAACAAAACAGTCAAATGTAAACTACGGAGTGTGCTTAGAACTAACAAATCAATCAAACATAAACTACAAAGCGCGCTTAGAACTAATAAAGGAATCAAACGTAAACTAGGTAGGAGACGTTAATTTCCCACACACGAGTTTACTGTGTGATGGATGTCCTTCCCTGAGACGGGATGGGTGGGAGGGTGGACTAGCACGAATGGTTCGTATGTTTCTTTCTAGTCCTTCCCCACTGCAAAAATTACTGCAGTGAAAATGGAGTAAATTAAATTAACTACAGGGCGCGCTTAGAACTAACATAGAAATCAAACAAAAACTACAGAGCGCTTAGAACTAACAAGACAATCAAACGTAAACTATAGAGCAAGCTTAGACCCAACAAAACAATCAAACATAAACTACAGAGCGCGCTTAGAACTAAGAAAACAATCAGACGCAAACTGCAGAGCGCGCTTAGACCTAACAAGACGATCAAACATAAACTACAGAGCACGCTTCGAACTAACAAAATACACCTTTTGCTGTTCATTACGAGAAAATACGCATTAGTTTGCGTTAAAAGGCGAACAATTGTGCGAAAATACAGTCATTAGAGACAAAAAACCGTCATTTGCGCATAAACAAGATTCAATAACGATTTTTGCATTTTAATCAGCATTCAATATCAAAAATGCAGAGTTTTGGGTGGTAAGCCAGTTGTTTTTGGTAAGGATGAAAAATTACAAAGTTGGATTTTTTAGTGTTAAAGAGTTAGTTTGTTGGCTCTCAACCAGTTAAAGATTTTGTAACTCGTTGTTGACTATTGTTTGAAGGTCTTCCAGACTTTTGTCCGCACACAAAATGTTAGTGTCTTCTGCAAAGAGGTATAACCTAAATTTATTCGAACATCTGTGGATGTCATAGAAAATTAATGGCCCAAGAATTGATCATTGAGGAACACCACATCCAACGACAGCTTTATCTGAAATACGATGGCCTACTTAAGTTGTTCGCGTGCGATTTTTAAGATATAAGGAGAACCAATCATTAATCAATCCACGAAAGCCATAGTGATTGAGTTTATCAAGCAAAATGGCACGAGTCCTAAGTAGATCACTTCCAGGTATGGTAGAGGCCTTACGAAACTGATCATCAACGGATCTAAGAGTAAATTATTCCCATTTGTGACTACATTTAATCCAAATTTACCTAATGTAAGTCGCCTCAGAAAACATCTGGGTATTTTGGAATCCAATCCCAAGTTAAAGGAGCTTTTTCCTTCAAATTCCATCATAGCATCCTTTCGCAGATTTAAAAACCTTAAAGAACTGTTCGCGCCATCCCGCTATGGCCAATGTTAACATCGAATGCAAAGGAGCTGCTGAGGTTAAGGGATATTTTAAATGTAATAGAACAAGATGAGATCTTTGTCGCAACTTCTTGGTTGAATCTAATTCCTTTTAAGTTTTTAAACAAGATACGATCGAAACTTTCCTGTGATTCTAAGAATATCATTTATTTGGCTTCGTGCAAGAGATGTCGCCTACAATACATTGGTTCCACAACAAATGATTTTAGAGTTAGATTTCGCAACCTTAAGTCTGTTATGGTCACTAAGAAAAAGACGTGTGAAGAGCGGTACATTTTAACAAAACACCACATGATCTAAGCGATTTCTCATTCCAATGCATTGATCAAGTGCAGACGACCGTAAACAATTCAAGTAACATCGAGACTTTTAATTACCAAAGAAGCATATTGGAGCGCACAGCTGTTCTCTCTGGCACCTTTCG